CTAATAGATAAAAAAGGTTGAAGGATGAAAGCGTCAGTTTTCTGTCAAATAACAGAAGATACATGATGATATTTCATTCCAGGAGGGAAGAATTGTCAGTTGTTAGCATCTGCTTGAAAGAAAACTTTACATGAGTTAACCATCATATATAATTTCCAGAAAATGAAGGATTAATTCAGCAACTACAAGTATATGGAGTGACTTCTAAAAGTCTAAAAATCTAATTTTCCTTGCATTTATACTTAATACGGGTTGAAAGAATTAGGTAATGCTTGAATACTCTCAGAAATTTCTTTCCAGAGCCACTTTTTCATGAAAAAAACGTGCGTATCAAGGTAAACTCTGTTTATCAAATCTTTCTCAAATGTGTCATAAAATGATCTCAGAAATTTCGATTATTTTTACCTCAGCCTAATCAAAACTAACCGTCTTAAAGTAGATAACCTCAGTGTAGGCTGTACATGTAAGTGCTGATGTCAAACAGACTGTAGTATTTACAGCTACACTAGAGAAACGCCATCAAAACTACCTGTACCTATAAGGAAAAGAGTTTGTTTTATTATTATGTAAAGGGAAATGGGTATGAACAGTGGTCTTCTACATACACGTAAAAGCTTTATCATTATGATAGTAAATGAATTAGACAGTGGTTGTTATCTTTCAGTGTTAATTAAAACCATCCTCATGCAATAAACTTAAGTAAAAAGCATTCATCCTGAGTCGATATATGGAAAAGTATGAGAAACGTGTAAATAGACTGACGCTTTGCGCATCAAATTTTTATGTAAAAACCGAAGGAAATGAATAGCACACAAATTGAAGTCAATACAGATGTCCATAGGTACAAAGAAAAAAAGCGCAGAGTAGCTATATTGTAATAAGTTCAAACAATGTTCATGCTTCTATTCTGGACACAAAAAAACATAAAATCCTAGACAAAGTTGTTGAAGTTCATCGGCATGTCGTCGAAATCTCTGATAGCCGATATCTTTCACAACTGGCGCAATCATCATACAGTAGATCATATAAGTCAATAGTTTAAATCCCAGGAAAAGTGGATTTATTGTTATCGACAAGATAAACTAACTAAACGCTAAATAAATCGCTTCAAGTGGAATACCAAGTCTTTTTCTTCTAGTTATGCACTTCAGTATTAGCAGACTGTTAATTTTAAACTTGATAAACCTTTGAAGCCTCGGAGAATTTTTCATTCATTGACTTTTCAACCAGCTGATAGTCAACAAATTGATGATATAAACCAAGTAGTGGTAGAGTGCAAGATTTATTTACCCATAAACTAGTGAAGGTAGTTGGTAGTGATTATGATTTTTTCATTCATCATACAACTGTTCACCATAGTTAGTCTTTAGTCGGTTAGAAAATGTGCGTATACTACCAGTCAGAAACAAATTCTAAGAATGGTATTCAGTAGGAACGTAAGCACAACATACATCAATGAATGGTTGAATTTTTAATAAGAAAACCATTAATATATATTTTATAAAGACTAAGCTGACATATTTTTCTGCTAAGAAGTGCACAAGCCAAGCTTGTTATCAACTTAACCTTAATGTTTTTGATCCTACCCAAAACAGATCTATTTTAGGGTTCAGAAAAATCCTGTACAAGGTTATTAAAATTTAATCCTTATATTTACATTTGAGTAGGTGTTTGAGTAGGTCATCATGGAATAAAATAGAGATTTTAATCAGTCGGCATCAAGGGTAAATTTCAAATCTTACTTCGCTGACTAGAAATTCTGTTTATGCCTTGTTTAAAAGCACCTTATTATAAACTCACTACTTCAACCTTTGATTATACTTTATCCAATGTAGACTGAAATTTAATAACTAGGGTGAATTAGTCACTCAGTATACACCACAATGAATGTTGAAAAACATTCTTAAATGAGTAAACTATGCTCGTACATTTAAAATTGATAAATTCTCTTTAATACTGAACCCATGTTTAGAGCCTTCTTCAAAATTTTAGAGCTTGGAAAATGTAATGCTAATGGATGAAATTATTTTAAGCGTATGCATCATGTAACATAAGTAGCACCTTAATATACATTGATACATGGAAATTAAAGTATAAAAGACACTTGAAACTAATCTGAATAAACAGTAAGAGAGACTACTTCATTGAAATATAAAAAAAAACACCTTAAATGAATAGGAGAGTTGTGTGACTCTAAGTAATGTACTCGCTTAATGCTGATTTATTTTGTAATATAAATAAAGTTTAAAGGGTATGAGTGTAACCACATTTAAACAAGTATTTGTTATAATAGTCACACGTTCCTGTATCAGTTAATTTAAAGAGCTTAATGTTAGATATTTTGTGACTTTAAATCACTTACCGAGTATTTAACTTACATTTTATGTGAACACAGATGTGTAGTGTATTCCTATTCTATCATCCGCTGTTCGAATTCAACCTTGAATAGGACATATTTCTGACTTCCACCATTATACCTTCGTACTAAAAGATTCTACTAACTAAATTGAACTTGAACTGCAGAATTCTATAAATTAAAAACACCGCTTAACTTGAACAGTATTAAACTATGTATTTTATTATTCGAATACAAAGCTGTTATACTTCAAGCTAATTTTTCAAAATGGCTACTTAAATTTTTCCCTATTTTACTCTATTAATGAAAAACTATTATTGGGATTACCATTTTTTGACATACTTGTTATTCTCCGTTGTTATCATAATTAACATTCAGGTAATATCGAAGCATCCGCATAGGAGCTCATGTGCCAATAGAGGTCGAACAATTCGATCCAACAAAACAACGGAGACTAACATGTATGTCAGTAAATAGTAATAACTACTACCCGTTGTACAAGAGGCAGCTATTGTTCCTTTGTGGCGTAGTGGATAACGCTTCAGCGTTTGAAGCGATGTGTATGAGGTTCGAGTCTCAGTAGGAACAACATCACTGGGGTGCAGGTACGTCCAACTGACGAGTCCCAAATGAGACGAGATGCGCATCACAGATTATTCTGCTGTCCACAACCAACCAGGTTATCGCATTATTGGCATTGTTGCTACTGATTTGATTCATCACACCTCCTTGTGATCCTTTCTATATAGTGCTGAAAAGAATTCTAGTGGATTAGAAGAGGTTGTTTATGGGAAAACTACTACATGTAATTTTGAAAATATTAAATCTTACACTAAAGTCGTTCGGCACCTCAGTGTGAAGTGTTCTTTTCCTCTTTATTTTTACTCCACACTATCTTTTTCCTTGTCAAATTCTCAGTAGTTGGTCAGTGTCGTCTATTGTGTTTTCCGACTTCGTGCTATATACATTCATATGACTAGCGTTCACTACAGTGAGCTACTGGTTTCATGAACAGTGACGATTACACTAATAAACCAGTGCTTAGATAGTTTTATCTTAAGGCTTGAAAACTTACCAAGTTTATTGGACAAATCGGGTTCTGCCATTATTTTGACTTCTAGCTTTATATGTAGTGTGTTATTATTATTATTATTAGTCCCTTGGGTTCCTAGTGGAACATAGGGCTTCAGTAGCACGCCTCCAGTGACCTCTGTTCTCTGAGATCTTTTGAACCTGGTTCCACGACAGCCCAGAAGCTCTCATTTCCTCCTCGCACGACCTCCTCCATGTCACCCTCGGACGTCCAACTCGTCGCTTCCCATGGGGATTCCACTCGAGGGCCTGACGCGTGATGTCCTCAGTCGGCCTTCTCAGTGTATGCCAATCCATCTCCACTTCCTCCTGCATATTTGTTGCGTGATAGGTTCTTGGTTGGTTCGTTCCCAGAGTTCCTTGTTGCTTATTTTTTCTGGCCATCTGATCTTCAGCAGCGAGCCAGCGTAAGCAGTTGTTGATGAATGTCTGTAGTTTATTGGAAATGCCTTTCGTGACGCGCCAAGTCTCTGAGCCATACAAGAGCACTGACTTGACGTTGGTGTTGAAAATCCGTATCTTGTTCCGCATGCTGAGTGCATTAGATCTCCACACTGGTTTCAGGCTAATGAACGCCTGTCTTGCTTTTCCGATTCTGACTTTGACGTCCTCGTCCGTCCCGCCTGTAGTTGAAACAGTGCTTCCTAGATAAGTGAAGGAGGTTACTTCCTTCAAGTTTCTCCCGTTGACGGTGATTGGAGTTTGTTGTTGTTGTTGATGGTGGTGGTGCGGTATCTTCATCACTTCTGTCTTCTCTATATTCACCTGAAGTCCCGTCTTCGCTGCCTCCTCTGTCAACTTGTTAGTTTTTGCCTGCAGATCTTCAAGTTTATGTGACATTAGGCATAAGTCATCGGCGAAATCCAAGTCTTCTAGGTTCTTTTCCGTCGTCCAGTGTATCCCCTCTTCTCGCTGCCTACTGTTGCTGCATGATCCAGTCCACCACAATAAGGAATATCATGGGGATAGTAGGCAACCTTGTTTCACTCCTGTCTTCACTTCAAAGCATCACTGAGCTTCCCATTGTGGATTACTTGGCATGTGACATCTTCATATAGTTGTTGAATGAGGCGGATAAAGGTTTGCGGTACTCCGTAGTATTGAAGCAGTTTCCAAATTACTTCACGGTCGACGCTGTCAAAGGCCTTCTCAAAGTCGATGAAGTTGAGGTATAGAGCTGATTGCCATTCTACGCTCTGTTCTATGATGATACGAAGCGTTGCAATTGGTCGGCACATGATTTGTACTTCCTGAAGCCTGCCTGTTCCGGTCGCAGTTTTGAATCCAGTGCGTCTTTAAGCCATGTAGTGTGTTAGCTTTTATAAAATCACTACAAATAAGACCATACTTTTTAGATTACTCAGGTGAGTGGTACTGCTGAAGTTGTTCAAGTCACTGAATTATCCTTTTTAATGTTAACTGCTGATTAATCTACACTCCTACAAAATGGCGTCACCACTTCTGGTAAAGAAATTACAAAGAAGTTAGCCAGTAAACTGATCAGCAGAAAATTTATATTGATTTCATTATGTTCAGTTTGTTTTAATAGTGAATGAATGATAAAGTATCCGTGGAAATTTCATGTCAAAGGTTCACTTTCCATGAAGTGACAAGGTTGATTGGGAGAGAAGGGCATTTACAAAGTAAATACAAAACCAAGGTACGTGAATAATTTACATATGCCCACTGTTTTCTTGTATATTTGGCTAACTGTCCTAGTAAACCATTCTTTTCTTTCACTCCCAGATAGTGCACTATATACAACATATTATATTTCGTAATACTGACAACTGATAAGCATAGGCTTAGATATGCATGTCTCTGAGCAGCCAGAAAACTGTGTAAGTGTTTATCATATGGTGAGAAAGTCGGTGTTACTGTATTGTTTGTTAAAGTGTTAGTGGAAAATGTAGGATTCGAACTCATGATCCACTGGTTGAAAGTCAATTGTTTAAGCTAGTGAGTTGCAACGCCACGAAAGTCATAAACGTGTTAGGGTACGATTGTACAGCATATAGCCTACATTGAACCTGGGACATAACCATGGAGTCATGTATTATTTCATCACTCTCGGCAGATATGACAAAACAAAGTCACAAGAAGATCATCAGAGTCTATAATGGGCTAGATTGCTTTCCTGAGTGTATGTTTGTCACGATATGAAGGATAAATTAAGAAAAAAGGAATGATAAAAGGATACATTTGCATCCGGATTAATGATGTAATTCATTTGGGTGACTGTATAACCGAGTCTCAATCTGTAAATATACGGACAGCTATTAGTTGTCAGTTACAATTTAAAAAAGTCAGAGAATTATATAGTATTCGTTATCATATCAGCAGTGATATTCAACTAACTTTTATGAGCAATCCTCTAAGAAATAAGGATTTTAACTCAACGAACAGCTAATCTCTGGTATCTTTGGTTGTGAGTCTGAGTGATGAGAGTTCAAGTTTCTGTGACAACATGAATTTATACTTATTTAACATTCTCCGAGGTATCAGATTTGTTCTTCAACGTCATCATTAGTCTAGGCTAGAAGTTTTTATGAAGTAAGTAAACAGTAAACGGTTATAATCTCCAAGATGAACTGCAAATTTTCTGCACTACCTCAGCACATAAATTTGCTTGAGACTACTAGCACGCCATTCAAATGATGAGTAACAATGAGTGGAAACGTTAGGTTAGCTAGATCCCCCTAAAGAACTTTCTTCGAAAACCGAAGTGATAAATTTAAATCTCATCAGAAGTACTGATAAGCTAGTCACATTACTATAACAACGGCAGTTTAAATTTTGATAGACCAATAATTTTATGAAATCACTGGTTAGACGTTTAAGCCATCATTATCATAACATTATGAGCTAAAAAATCATTGTCCTTAAAATAAACTAGGACCTGTGTGACTCATATTACTGCTTTTATAGGATAATTTAGCAACTACTACCGTAAAAAATTCTTCTTCATGCCAGTGGACCAAAGAAGTGAAATAAATAATACCTATAGAGTGGTGCCACAACCCAAATATTCATTTAGTTTCCAGTATGACCCTACTACACTATATGCAAAGGTTAAAAGAAAGTAGCAAGAACTGAAGACTGACTTTCAGTCTCAGCATTTCAGTAGCATTATACTCCGAAGGGAAATTGCATCTCCTGTTTTCGGTTGTGAAAACAGTTAGTGGCTAGAAACGCTGAGAAAGTGAGAAGTTTTCATGGTTGGTGATTTAAGCAACTTTTTAGTTTAGCCAGAAGTAACATTGTCTGAGAGATTCAAGTCCAAGGCCATAGAAGTTATTAGGGAGCTAGCTAATTCCACTAAAAGGCTCAAGTGAGTGAAAATGAAAACAGTAGCCTTGAGTTCACGATGCTTCTTCCTGATCTACGCTGCTGAACATGAAGGTCACACTTGTGAAGGTACTCATGACTGTTTTTATTGCATGCTTTGTTTTTTGCCGTATTTTATCTTAAAATAGATTACTGTACACATTTCACAGTGACATAAACAACTAACGAGGGAATTCTGCCCATCTGAAATGGGACATAAACTCTGTTCTGAAGGTACTATCTCGAGTTTCAACATTAGCCAAATTGTCTTGTGATCTATACTTAAATAACACCCAGCCATTTGATTCCACACAACTTGTTGTTCGTACTACGTATAACAGTCTGTTTACCCCGAACACTAATAGAAAATTGCATTCTCATGCAAAAATGAATCTAGTGAAACTATCATTCTCATAACTTGAGTTGAAAATGGTGTATATCTTGAGAGAGTTTTACTTTAGTTATTAGTTCTTCTCCACTCTCTAGACCAGACTACTTGTCAACATGGAATTCGCTTCTAATAACAGTCATTGAACAGGTATCATTTTGTTAATGCTTTCACAAGAAAATGAAATCTCCTGCCAGACCATTCTGCTAACGCCCCTCCATAAGTGATAAGTGTAGTCCCGAAACCCTTCAGACTGTCAGGAGTCAACCTACTAACATTCGCCATGTAATAGGATCGTTGATCAAACCCAACTCCCCGTAAGCAAACGTGGATGGAATGTGACTCACTAAGTCTCCACAGTCCTGCAGATCATGTGCAGGTCATCTTCGCGACAGACTAACTGCCTCTGACCACACTGATTCAAATTCAGAGGCTTTTTTGAGCCACAGATATACAGCCAAGGCTAGAGAAAACGATAGTGGCATTCCTTCCGGAATGCCGTTCACTTTTGCAAGGTAAAGTGCACCCATCTTTGGAGACTTCTTCAAAACTAGTGACCATCAAAGTTAGGTAGATTACTTCCCTTTCCTTTCGGCTGCACTGCTGTCAGCTGACTTGGCAGAACGCTGATGGCTAGCTAGTCCGTTCATGCTTTGGAGAACTGTGTCACTGATCTGAGCACATGGCTCTCGTTGTCTGCGTTTGCTGCTAGGTCAACTCTGATGATGGGTCGGTTGATATCCGGTGAGGTTACATGGACGCTCTTTGTCTTTACGTAACTCAACTGGACCCGCGATTACTGGTTCAGACGCCATCTTCACTTTCCTAGGCATACAGCACAAACACTAACACCACTTAGTCACACAGTTAGGGGCTTCATATTGACGCCATGAAACGCATCTATGGCTTAGTAGTATATTCTCACCAAAATGATGCATAACTCTACAGTGGGGACATAGGATATCTGAAGTCGTCATTTTTAGAATAAACCTGAGTGGTACTGGCTTGTTACATTGCAACTATGGTTATTGAATGAGTCGGTGACTTACGCATACACAAGATTTGTGTAAATTCTGACTAGATGGCTATTTAACATTTATCCATTTAACGTAACCATTTTAAAAGATCAGGTGAATGTTTCTTTGGTGTGATATGAAAACTCAAAGAAGACCAATTAATGAAGTGTGATTTTCTTTTCCCTAGTCTGCCAATTATTATTTTTTATCAAAGCTTTTACTCATATGCTTGTGCACAACAGTGTCATACAACCAAACACAGTAGATCGTTGTTTTTTATGTGACTAACAAGTCAAATAGCTTAAAGGATACTAAACCAGCGTTACAGAAATCATCTAGTTATAGTGAATATATCTGAATACCTTTATATGAACTGTTTGTGAAATACTGGACTTTTGGTGAACACTCTGGGTCATAGTCTTCGATGCATACTGTACTGTCTCAGTTTTACTGAAGCGTAAAGGAACACCTTTTAATATTTCTCATTCTTTTACTGCCAGAATTTTTATTGGCCACTTACTCGTATTCCTAATTCACCGTTTTGACTGGGATCACGTTTTTCTGTAGTGTAATAATAGTTTGTGTGAACCATATTATCCAATCAATAGTGGAAAATTCATAAAAAATTACCTTCAGGGGAGAATCTTCTGTCTTTTTTGTCGATTTAGGTTTTTGTGAAGATGATTTATTTTTAATGGATACATTATCAACAGTTTCTAAATTTACACAGGATTTATTACCAGGTAATGCTGATGTCTTTAAAACGTTTACTTTTTGCAACGTAGGGAATAGATTGTTTATTGTTTATTATTTTGAAAGTTAGTTATAAAATCCGACGGTTAAGATAGAAGTTTACGTAGTATAACCGAAGTTAAACTAGTCTGAAGAAAATGTGTCAGTAAACAGTAGGTTGCCTCATACCCCAGTTTAATGCTTGGATGTTGCAAGTGTCGAATGACTGGATAATGTTTGTGCTGAGCTACTAATCTCCTGAAAGTTTTCTGATAGTTAAATAGAAACAGATCAGTCGACTGAAATTTACTGAAATCTGTGACATACATGGGTATAAATTAACACTAAAAAGACGATAAATAGGCCTAACATCTTATTTCTTTTCATCAGAAGGCGTTTTCAACGACTGTAGGAAATTCTCAATGCTCCCAATAAACTGTCCCTGATGTTGAATATCTTAGATTAGTATGCGTTCCTATTATTGTTTTGCGATTACTAGGTGAAATATGTATATTAAGTGACAGTTTCTAAAAATGACCATGTATTTTCAAAGTGTTTATTTTATTACTGATTACATTCTTAAAATTCACCTGTATTCAACAAAGGAAAAAGCCGAGGTATGATGTAGCGCTAGTGTCAACGATAGTCTCCTAGGAACGATGATTTAACTAAGCTGAAAGAACACAAAACGTGAGTCTGTCTTAAGACACTACTTTTATAGCATCTTTTTAACTGTGAAATAGGACGTACAGTTCAAGTAAGTGGTTAGTGGTACAATAAAAGGCCCATACAACACCACTTGAAACAGTAACAGAAAGCAAAGTCAACAACAGTCTTTTTTCCTAATGGAATCGAAAATTATTTTGATTTCTTACAATACTGAGTCTAAACAGCTCAGCAGTTATTATGATACTTACTTCTAATTGAATACTGAAAACCGACCTTCTATTCATGTTCGTCATCGATTGACAGGCGCTTAAATTGTCATCACATCTTCCCAAAAATCTTAAACAAGACAGCAAATCATATTTCCCTTTTTATTACTTCAGATAATTTAAATAAGGATTCCGTAAACGTAGTGACTTCAGGTGAATCTGATTCAATTAGTTGCAGTTCAACGTTTGATGTGACCTCACAGATGTAAGTAATTTCTCATTGTGATAAGATGATTAACTTGTATTTTGGCAGCAGTTTTTTGTGTGGTGTAGACAGTTGTGTTTAACTGTTGATTTTATGCATAGAGTTAATGCTATTTACAAACTTTCACAAAGCGAGCATATATATGTGTTAAGTTCCGTTTTGCCGACTCTCCTCAGCTGCCTAAATTTAAGGATGAGACTTTGTCTGATAATCAAGAGCTTCTGTCTTATAAACTACTTAAAAGGGTTGTTTGTAGCATTATTCAATCGTATCAAAGTTGCATGCTTAGGGTTAAATCCGAAGAACTAATGGCTATTGTCTGTGCCTATCGTCAGAAGCTCGTGAGTAAGTATAACAAACTAACTATGAAAAGAGTGAGGTACAGTACAGAGGAGAAAAAGTCTTTCTTTATATGATTCACCGCCAAAAATGATTAAGCTGACAGGCAGATGAATTACAAACTAAATTATGCGGTGAACAGGAAGGTATCTACTTCCCAGCTGGTTTACATCCAGCAGAAAAAATTTTCGTCATGCTAATCAAAGGTGGGAAAGTTACATCTTTTGCCATTTTTAATGCATATACCAACTTTAATTTATGCGCAAAGTCTGTTCATTAAACAAGCAGAAAGGACTGTTTTCTTGCATTTCTAAACATATCATCATGATCTTGAAACCAAGGGGATTAAATGAACTCAGCATAACCTGCTGAAACTGAACTTGAGTTAGACAGTATCGAACCTCTTTAAATAATTAGCTGGGAGAAAACCTCAGGTCTGCTACATTTTACCTCGGTCAATCCTAACAAAAGTTCAAAGTTAATCTGTGCATCCAGCTATCACTCGTACGCTGTCCTAGGGATTTAACTTCCGAAAGATTGTTCGCTTTTCCCCTTTAAAATTTTGCGTTCTTTTTTAAACCCCATTATTTATCTAAACATTATTCATTTTCATCGTCAAGCTAGTGCTAATTTGTTAGTTTTTTGAAGTGACGTAATCTAAGATGTCAGTTTCAGTTTTTATCACTCTGTTGTTCAGATCAACTTCTTAATCTCTTTTAAAAATATTTCTCTTATAATCTAATAAATAATCAATCCAGCTAGTACTGCTTACAATTTCCTGGTTTGCATTATTCTGAATATATCATCTGTGTGTTACTTGTTGTCTGCATCAATCATTTTTTATCAGCTCAATGAAAATATGTGAAATGGCTTTTTGAGGTGTATATAATTTGACATTGTTTCAGTGAAAAGCTGCTGAGAGGATTGACAAATATTCACATTATATTACTGTTCTACATGTATTGTTCTTGCCTTATTGAAGTTTATTCTTTTGTAATGCAACTCAACCTTTGAGTAGCTGACCTTGAAAATGAATGTTACCCTGTCTACCTTATTTGACAGAAAATTTGACAACAATCTGTAGTGCAAATTTATAGATTACTGAGATAATTGTAGACCTATGAAAAGTACTGTACATAATCAATAGGTAGGCGTACAACGATGACAGGTTGCACTTAAACTTCTGAATGGTAATCTCAGATGCTGATTTAAATAAACCACCAGTTTAGTTTTCATTTAACTATCATTTTTATTTTATTTAATCAGTGAAAGAAAGCTGCCTACCCCTAGTCATTCAAATAATGAGTTGGAAATATCTCTTCTTCAAAAGAATAAACCGTCAGATAAGACTTTGAATCCTATTTCAAATTGTAAAACACGTCAGATGGATATTTTTAATTCTGAGAGGAAAAAGGTTACAATAACTGATCCATGTGATAAATTAACTCGAGATATTCAATTGAAAGCTGAAAAGATACTTTCTGATTTACGTTCAGTTCCACTAAAATATGCTGATAAAATAAATAAAACACGTGGAGTAAAGAGTTTGGAAAATGTATTGCTACAAGAAAAAGAAGTTGAAGATGATGTAAGTGATGGTGGCGGAGGTGGCAGTAATGATATAAACGACGATAGTGATGATTTGCTGAATGTAAGTTGACAAAGTGATTTTCCGTATATTAGTTAGAATGCCAGTAACTAAGATAATAAGTGGTTTGGTAAGATTTAGGATATGGTCTTTCTATCGTAATGAGAACAGTTTATATCTGAAGTTCGAATATTAACCGAAGTACCTCTTTTGGATTATATAAATTTAAACTTCCACAGTAAATCCAAATTTCTCTTCAGGTAAAACGTTTTGCTTATTGAGAATTATTTTATCGAGAATCTCAAGTAAATTTCATTCTGCCATGCTTGAAACCAAAGGTTCGTACGACTAAGGAGTACCATTATAAGATTGGACTGTTAGGAAGACCTAGGCATTTCACAGTTAAATTATTTATGGCTTTCTGATAGAAGTCCACCTGGTGTGAAACTATGTTGCTAAGTTGCGAAGTTAGAAATCCCATAGTTTATGCCAATGATACTTGTTGGGTGCCAGTAAAAGTGTGCAAGTTCTAATAGCTGTGCTATGAAGAATGATGATCATAAGTTATCATAAAACCAATTTCATAAAATTGATAGTTGGGGTCAAAGAAAGCATGATGGGTAGGGGGGGGGACAGAATTAAAAGAAAATCCATTGAGTAACTTACCCTAGTCAAAAGACTTAAAACTAAGAGATAGAACATAATGGCGATTACTAAGTTTGAGTCTCACTGGAAACACCACCACTCACTGGAGTGGATGTACATCCAGCTGACGAGTGCCATATAGGACAAAGTACACATCTTGGACCACATTCCTATCCACCAAGTAAACCAGAAAACAGTAATGTTTATAAAAATTTAGTTGACAACTGTTTTAGTTTTCAGTATTACATGCAGTTGACAATTTGTCCTCAAAATAAAATATGGAAATCTTTTAGCATCTAATGAAATCTAGTTAATGTCTAAATACCGTTAATGAAGTAAATTCGAAGATATTTGAAGTGTAATCGGATGTTATTCAGGAGGTTTAGTTAAGAATATAAGTTGTTGTTCATCGAAGACTGACATCAGTTGGAGGAACAAAGGAAACCTGGGAGCACTGGACAGCTGTTTCGTCCTAGTATGGGACTCCTCAGCAGTGCGCACCCACGACCCCACCAGCGCACTGCTGAGGAGTCCCATACTAGGACGAAACAGCTGTCCAATGCTCCCAGGTTTCCTTTGTTCCTCCAACTGATGTCAGTCTTCGATGAATAACAACTTGAAATAATTCCAAATCTCCACAACCCCCTCAAAATTTAAAAGAATATAAGTGCTTAAACCAGGTGAAAAAGTTTATTTTGATCAAGGCTATTGAATATCAAATAAAATGTAAGCTTTGTTATCATTTCTGATCTTGTCTGAAAGTGCATCGGCTAAAGCTAGGATGATAACTTTGTTTGAAGTTTCACACCATGTCGAGAAAGTAAACAGCACTTTTAACTAACCTATAGCTATAATGTTTAGGGTAGAAAACGAGTAGGCTGTTGTTCATATACAGAGGTGACTGAATCTGCAAAAGAATAACAATCCTGAAGCATCTGACTAAGTAGCCTCCAGTTTACCTATCTGTCGTTAAACCGGTTGAGACGCAACTATTAACTAGCTTCCAGTTTTGGCTGACCCATGACTAGACCTTACCTTAATTTCTTGTAAATTTAGTGACACATATGATTATGAGCAATAATTTATGCTCAAAACGTCATCAAGTAAACAATACTAGATCACTGTGTGTTATAAATCAAATAAACAAATCTAATATGGAATTAAATTCTATCACAGTGCCCAAGTTTTACACCTATTTCTTTCCATTTCTCATGACACAAGCTTCTTGGCGTGATCTTCAAGTTCCAGGCCAAAATAATCTGCAGTAGGTACAGTCCAGATTGGCTTCAAGCTTTATTATTACTTAATAGGCTAGTTCTGATAATTCTTAAATAATTTTGAACTGTTTTTGGCCAATTAAATTCATAATCACGCTTAGTTTGAATTAACTCAACATATTCTCTAACTTTTAAGATAGTAAGAAACTCACCTCTGTTTTCTGTTATTCCTTCATGCAAAGGATCTAACTACTTATCACTACGGTGATAAGCAAAGTTATATGGTAGCGCATGTAAGTTATCACATCTTTGTAAGATTTGCAGTCAAGTTACTATCCCCTGCAAAACTTAAAGATAATTCAGTAAATGAGATTAGCAGTTACTTTTACAAATATTATTGTTATTGTTGTTATCTTTTATTTTAGGAACTTCCGAAAAGAAAATTTCCGCGAATTTCAGGTCAATTAAATCGAAAGCAATTGAATTCACCAGAAAAACAGTTAAACATGTACAAAGATTATGAAAATATACGTCAGAAAACAGATTTACTTAAAATGCGATGTGAAATGTTGCAAACTTATTTAACTTTCTTAGAAGCACGTAAACAATCATTGCAAGATGCTATCACAGATATGGAACGAGAATATACTAAAAATCAACAAATTCAAAATAATCTAAATGAAAATCAGTTGAAATTTGATTCGAGACAATTCGAAGAGATACTTGCTAATCAAGTAAGATAAAATTTTCAAATTATGAACTTTATTATACACCTTTTATAATTGAAAGGTAATTTATCTACTTTAGCTAGCCAAATTTATGAATAAATTAGCGTGGTTTTTAACCACTTATACTATCTAGAAAAGTATTTTCTTCTTATAATACTTGTAAAACACGTATGAAATTCTTGTTACTGAGACCTTGTTTGCAAATTGTTGACTGAAGCACTACTCAGCTGTGAGAAATGTCATGGTTTGCAGATAATATGTCAGTAATTAATTCTTTTTGTGTTTAACAAAAGCCAGGTGATTTTTCTGATATTTAATTACTAGGAGATCTACCTAGTCAAAAAGTTTGCGGCTAAAAATGAGGGACCATAGGGAAAAACTGCATTAAAATCTCAAGGTTTTGCAACATTGGCCCTAGTTCTGCCCTGTACTGTTTCGGTTCTACTTTTTGCCTTATAATTTTTTGATTTGCTCCGTTTTCTTAAAATGACCTTGCGTTTTGTCGTGTATTTTTCTGAGTTTCCTTGAGAAATTGTTGACTGGATTGTTGCTAATTATCAAAACAGCATTTCTGCGAAAGTATTAAAACTCATGCTTATAAGAAGACTAAAATAAGCACCTTTTATTTCTTAAATCATAAATTTTTACTGATATTCAGTTAAACCTTCCTTCTAACTGACCCATGGTATCGAGCGTCTAACAAAAATGGACTACTACCTTGTGTCATCCATCTTGACGGCAGCACCCTATCTTTTAACCAGTGAACTTCAGCTAGCAGCTTCCACTTTAATACAAGGATGCTTATCGACAACTGAAACATTCATGATTTCAATGGTAATTATTTTAAGCAAGTGACTGTAGAGTATAAGTCTATTTAAACAACAGAGAATGCAAAATGAAATGGGTTTTGTAACAGACTATTGAAAATTACCGTGAAGAGGATAAACTTAGTAGGAAACTTAGGCATGGTGGTAATAGTGATTTCATTTTGGCTTGTCCGTTAGATGCCGCACAGTGAAACAGTTTTAGTTCCTAGATAACGTTTTGCATACAATTTAATGTCCGTATTTATATTGTTGTGAACAATAATTGAACTAACTGATAGTGAGAGTAAAGTCTTTGCTTAACCCATTTCTTTTAAACAGTTGATTGGTGTGGATCTTGACTAGCTTTTACAAAAAGCGTTTAAACTGTTTCAGTAAATATTTCAAATGGTTTACGTTTAATATTTTGTACAAATTTGATTGTAGAATAGTTAACTCTAATAAACTCTGAAGGGTAGAACATATAGAAAATATACATATGATGGTGCGTTATGTGAAACAACAAGTTTGAGGATACCGTTCTGATGATTGATTGTAGTTGAGAATACAAAGATAAACGTGGAGATAGTCTTGGTTCTTGGAACAGCTAGTCAATTCGAGGCATTAGAGATATTCTTACAGAGGTCAGGCTTGATATAAATCGTTGATCAGACGGTCCAAATGTGCCCAATTATGATAATACTTACCAAAAATTCCTACACTAAATTTTTGTCAAAGAATTCCTTAACGAAGCTAGTCAAAATGATCGATTTCATATTTCACTTAGAAGAAAGAAATCTGTATTTAGAAGTTGATTTATAAAAGTGTGTTCATGGTTAAATTCCATTTTAAATTCTTAGGTGGCCACCTTCTTTTTATCATATAATTCAGAAAGTTATAAACCCTACGGTTATCTTTGGCTATGGCTTAGAAAGCCTGTCCATGTTGGTTCATTTTAGCTTTGGTAGGAAACTGCACATCAAGGTAGATAATAAGGAACTAACACCAATCAACCCACTAGCAACGAGAAGTCTATGGGAACAGTAAACCACAGAGTCTAATGTTTGACTTCAATACATCGGCTCACATACTGATGAAGCCTGAAGTTTCACATGGTTGTAAGACTACTGCTGGAAAAACGTTCTTCATACGTAGGTAATGAGTGTTTAGAAACTACGTAAGAGTGATTTTATTACTATAAATTAGTTGCTTCAATTCAGGCAAGTTAGCATTACAGATGTTAGAATTACGCTTGTATCATATTATATCATAGAGGAACTCCTGGCGACTTATGAAATCTGCACACCTGTCAGCCTATTGTTGTATGTTTGATGATAACTATGTGTAATTTTAACTTCCAGATATAGTGAAATATATATGACTTGCATTTTAAAAACGTGTGGATATTAATATTCTAGGAATATTTGTGATTACAATAGTTTGATTAGAAACTACAAACTTACGTAGGAGTTTATCAATGAAACGTATTAGATATTCTTGGGCAATCAGACTACTGACTTTCATAGTTCTTTCATTCTCTTGAATTTCAGATGTCAAATCCTATTTTCAAATAAGGTGACAAAATAACAAGTTAAAATCACAATTTCTTTCCTGACCTTAATGAAGGACATTTTTGTTTCATGTTTTCAAATGATTCTGAAACATTCAGGAAGTTTTCTTGTGGGCATGTTGACCGTCAGACCATTTTGTGATTCTTTTACCTCATTGTGCCTAGATAGAATTATTCATTTGAGTGACTAATTGTGTATTAGTTGGTTCACTAATGTCTAGCACACAACTTTCACGCTTTCGATGCTGAAAATTCAAGATATGAGTTAGATCGAATTGTGTAGCTTAGAAAGGGGGTTTTCTTTAGTTGTAGTATTATTACTATATGTCCCTTGGGTTCCTAGTGGGACATAGGGATTCAGTAGCACGTCTTTATTCAACTCTCTTCTCTGCAAACTTTTGAACCTGGCTCCACAACTGCCAACAGGCTCTCATTTCTTCCTCACACCACCTCATCCATGTCACCCTCGTCTCAGACGCCAAATCGTCGTTTCCCGTTTGGATTCCCCTTGATAGCCTGGAGAGTCGCTTGATGTCCCCGAATGGTCTTCTCAGTGCATGTCCAATCCATCTCCACTTTTTTCTTCTTCTGCATACTTATTGAGCGATAGGTTCTTGGTTGTTTCTTTGCCAGCTAGAGTTCCTTGTTGCTTATTCTTTCTGGCCATCTGAGGTTCAGTAACGAGCCAACGTAGGCAGTTGTTGATGAATATCTGTAATTTATTTGAAATGCTTTTCGTAACGCGCCAAGTCTCTGAACCATATAGAAGCACCTATTATTAGATAGAAATAAGAAGTTCGCAAACATTCAAATCGATTTCGTGAAGTGTTATTTTAAAGAGTCAGTCCTCTTGGATTTATTCTGCTTATATTACTTTATGATGTCAACAATATCTAGGTGTTCTTTATATTTCAGTCCCGAAGGACTGATTTTACATCCATTCTAATTTATTATTATTTTTTCAATTACCATTCTACTTTTCTTTTCTGATTAGAGTATTGCGTTAGCCAGGGAAAAAGAACAGTCCACTCAACTTCGATTAAAATATGAATCTGCTGAGGCAGCACGTTTTGCATTGAATCAACAGCTTCAATTAACTTGCTCTGAATATGGTGCTGATAAGACATTTTATCTAAAACAGATTAAACAGTTGGAGCAAGTAAGCCATAATGTCCTTTTAAAAGTACGAAAACATTTAATTATTAGAAGTAGTATTCATCATGGACTGACATCAGTTGGGGAACCATTGAAAATCTCGGAGCACTGGACAACTGTTTTGTCCTAGTATGGGACTCCTCAACAGTACGTACCCACGACCCGGCTAGGGGTCGAACTCAGGACCTTCGTCTCAAAAATACATTACTCTATAGTGCTCGTTAGTGAATTGCTTCCAGATGGATGTTAGGAAGTTCTAATGAGAAGCCGTGACTTGTGGGGTCAACCAGTCGGAAGTGAAGTGGATGCTAACTGAAGACATGGGTGACAGTCGCGCTATGTTGTGAATTGACAGAATTTGGAAATTGTGAACCACCGGAAACCGACCCAGTGCCTGGATGGTTAGCGTGTTCGCCGTGAAACCTGAAGGTCCTGAGTTCGACCCCTAGCCGGGTAGTGGGTGCGTACTGTTGAGGAGTCCCATACTAGGACGAAACAGCTGTCCAGTGCTCCCAGACTTTCAATGATTCCTAACTGATGTCAGTCCATGATGAATACTACTTCCAAATTAAAAATCCCCATTCATCTCAAAAATACATTTAATTATTAGTTTAAAAAGTTAAAAATGAATGATCATCGCAGCGGACTGGGTCAGTGAAAACATCAAGGCATAGATTTTTTGTTTCGTGGTTGGTCTAAAACATCTTCACAGTGCTTACTTACTATCTTTATCTCTAATTAGTGTCAGAACCATACAATTTCAGAGACGGCACACCAGAGTTAAGTCATTTGGTTGAAATACGATGATCCTTATTTATAAGCTTCTGTTTAATTCATAATGTAGTAGTATAGCCATCATTCTGTTATCGTCATTTATATTTTCTCAACTACTTGATGCCACTAGGATTGGATCCCAGCATATTTTCAGATTAACCTTAAAATCAGTTCCTAATGGACGCTGAACTATAATTCAACTGTGCTCTTCGTAGAGAACTGCCTGATCTAAAAATAATTTCAGTCGTTCACTGACACTAACCAGAAAGTCATAACGAGACAGACAACTATGGGAAGCAACTTCACACAAGTTCGTTACTGATTAAAAAATATATGGAATGGAATTTTGTGTTCCAACGAAAATAATTAGAGACGACCTTTTTTCATAACAGTTTCGTAGAATTTAACATTTTAGAATGATGTCTTAATGATAAAAATATTCATTTTCTGGAATGGTCGGTATGCTTAGCTTTACCAAATAAATTTCGAAGAAATTTTAAAGTGAATAATTTGAGGATAACCAGCAAATTACTCAGTCATTTGTTGATCAAGTAAAACCAATCTTTTGCGTGCAGGAGATTTAAACAAATATATCTTAATGCAATCCGAAGGCTTACGCGGAACTGACAGAAGTAGAAAATATGAGTCATTGGGTCCGGACACAGTGGCTTAATAGTAACATGTTGGCGGCGGAACCTTCGAGTCATGGGTTCGACCTCTGGTGGGGTCCTAGGTGCGCACTGCTGAGGGGTGCCATACTAGAACGAGACAGCTATCTAGTGTTCCTAGGCTTCTAATATTTCTTCAACCGATGTCAGCCTATGATGAATACCAACGTCATATGTTAATGTTCTGTCAATATTCACTCTTTTGAGTTTATTTGAATTAACATGCAGGTGCATAAACTTTCTTCCTGAATGACCTATACAGCAGGGGATTTCTGCACAGAATGATTAGTGATTCTTAGCGATCTGGATTAGTGCTTGTCATTTTGTTTTGATGTCCATCTCGAACTGCTGTCATGCTAAAGCGATATTTCAGAGCATGATAACAGTTAAATACTATTTTACGCTAGTTAGTTTAAGATGTTTACCTCAAAGTCAGAAATGATTAACTTTACTTAATAATTTATTTGAATTATTATATTAACATAACTAGTTTTCATGATTATCACCAAGGTACAGATTCGTTAATAAAAAAAACAAAATCGTATATCGCTGATCATGTTTTTGATAGAAGTCTGTTGCGGACCTTCAGAAAACCTTAGGCTTTTGTGTCACATTTGATAGTGCTTATCAGAAAGGGTCTATGTAAGCTCACGAAAACAGCTGGTCATCCAATAACATGTTACGTAGTAGCTAAGAAGCATAGTGATTGAACTTATTCCTATTATATTACCTCATGGCCATTGTCGAATCTAGTTCTTTACGATATCGAACCCCATCCGATCTTTCTTTCAGAGTATATGTTGTTTGTCAAACAACAGGTTTTCTAAAGAACACTTCATTGCTTTCTGTAGTAATGATGACATTTGTTCACACAACAGTACTATATTGTACTTTTTTCAAGTAGGAAATGGAAACCCAAGTTAAGTCATAATAAAGTATTAGGTTGTGAAGTGATTAACTCATCAAAACGTCAGTCACTTTGGTGATTTAATGACTGAGACTGATACGTCAAGAGTACAAAAGGAGAATCTCTTGTTAGTATTGCTATAAGTAAAACAGTCATTATGATAAATTAAAGTTGTTAAATTTCGAAAATTTATCCAACATATTTTACTCACAATTTTATCCCATAACCCAATGTCTAAATGTCGGGAATAAAATCTTCATTTCATAATTATCTTACAGATTATAGATTAAGAATTGCATTCACTTTATTTGCCAATTTTATTACCTAGGAAATCGAAGAACGTATTAATAAGGCGAATGATGTTAAAAAGGAGAATGAACAGTTACAACAAGAGGTGTTGGATTATAAGCGACAGATAACTTCGTTGAGAAATGAAATGAAGGATAAAGAATTTGAAATGACCATTGTCGGCCAGTGTTATGATCAGAAATGGAAAGTAAGTTAGTTTAGTAAGCTCAATATATAGGATCATTACTTGTGCCTTGAAGACATTAACTACTTGGATATTATGATTTGTGTTAGTGTAGTAAATTAATTCTACAATTTTATTGATGGATACGCTTCTAAGGTTAACTCATCTCAAGTATTTTACCCTGTTATGTATATTTGTGGAATAAAATGTAGATTGGATAACCTACTATGACAGATGGTAAAAATAACCGAAAAATTAGATAATGAAGCAAATAACTATTTCTTGATAACTGATCTTCAAGAACGTGACTATTGTTATATTGTGAAATAAGATTGCCATAACCTTTATAAAAAAACCCTGAATACCTGAATCTTTCTAGAACCAATCATATTGCAGAGAAGTTTCTAGGGAAAGCACACGAACAAAGGTGTAAATATCAGATTAGTTGAAGGGACGAAAATTAATAGGATATTTAAATCTAGGAAGGCCTTGGAATATTGAAGGTCACTGTAAACACGTATAAACCTTTGTATTTTGCACCTTTTAAATCTACTGAGAAACTCAGCGACCATCCAAAGGTGGAATACAAAGGTTGCTGTTCAAGCGTCCTTATATATATATATATATATATATATATATATATATATATATATATATATATAACCGAGGCTTTATAAACTCGCTAGAAGAGTATAACAAGTAACATCAGAGGGATAAATGCTATCATGATAAAACATTGATTGTTTATATGGTACTTTTGACTCAGATATAAAAACAGGAGTTTGTTCAGCTTTCCACTGAATACCAAACGCTAACTGACATGAAGTCATAACAACTGTAAACTATTTTAAGTTTACCTGTAAGATAAGTTAAGTCTTTTGGCCACCTTTATATGCATCCACCAGTTGACCTGCTCTTATGGAGCAAAGTACATGGACCGTGGCTACAGAATGCTTTGTACACGTGTACAAAAACTTGTTTCAGCTTGGTATTCAAAGGATAAAGAAAGTCTTTCAGAAATTCTCTTCTAGAACGTTTGATTGATCTCCACCACTCTGAAATCCCAGACATAAAACTTCCGATTTGTTTATCAAATCCACCCAAACTCCCAACGTTATCTTCGTTCTCAACTCCTTAAAACAGTGGAAACTTTAGTCATTCACGAAGTAAAGCTTGATGTTTATGTAAAAAGGAAGTGAAATCAGTCACTGTTTTTAACAACAGCCCTACCACTTCCCCACCCCCACTAGTTTTTCCCTTATTGCTAAATTATTCTTTATATCCTTCCTTTATCACTATTATAGTTACTATAATTACCTTCACTTTAAATAGTTTTCGATGTCATTTTGCTGAGTTTTCTTTATCTTTCCGAAAAAAGCATTGATTTAGTTTTAACCAACTTGTATTATGACTATTACATAATACTTTATTGATTACTACTTTGATCAATTTCACATCCCTTTCTCGTTTATAACTTTTACTAAAATAAAAACCTGAAATTATTGACTAGGAATTTCAAGGACAGTTGGTATTCAAATTTTATTGCGTTAGATCAAATTGTTTCAATAGTATCAGTGATTAAAAGATGATGCGTATGTTCATTTTTTTTTAAACACATTAAAAAGAAAATTGTATAACCTTTAACATTACAGTGTGGTATTACAAAATTCACATGAAAAAGTGACGAGACACTTCACTTCACATGGCATGAAAATTTCTATTCTAAGGTCAATAGTCTGTCCTTTTTATCGATTAGTTTCATGTTGGTTTCTAGTGATGGGAAACATTTCGAACATTAAAACATGTTCTTCTTAATGATTACTTGATATCTTGGTTGCATTGTGTTGTCTGAGCTGGTTTGCTTAATCGTGAAGCTTTCATCATCCTTCTAGACGACATCATTGGCACTCACTTCAGTATGAAGTTCTCTACCAAGTATGAGTATACCGTTACTTGCAAATAGGCTAAAAGCTACAGTTTTTTAGAAATCAGCTTAAAGCTGAAGGTTTTCATGAGCTGACAGTTTAGCAGCTACATGAAACCAGAATAGTTTCCACCTACAAACTATCAGGTAGTTCTTTATTCAAGTAAGAATTTCTTAGTAATAAAGATAAACTTCTTAGAAGAGAAAGACTTATTTAAGATGGTGGTTTTTAAAAGCCAATTTGTTGTAAAGGACTTCAGACACATTTTGATTGCCGAGTAGTATCATAGACTTTAGTACATACCGAATACTGATTTTCAGGATTGATCTCAATAACAGTTTTATGTATTAATTCACTCTAATACCAGTTTATATAACAATATGCTCTTTAGAATCTCCTAGTTTATTTTTTCCTTCATAAAATTGTAGCAGATAAAGTGTTAAAATGTTTACAATTAACACATTATAATTAACTGTTTCAGTAAAATAAAAGTTTATGAAAATTTTCATTCTTTTCTTCTATGATGCTATTGTTCATTTAAACAAGAAGTTAAATTAACAATTGAATGTTTCCATTAATTCAAAAGTTCAAAAGTTTATATAAATAGTAAACGGAATGTAAAAGGACTTAATAATTAATGGTACAAATTTACAAATGTATTTCTTTCAGCTACACATATAGGTTTATTTTAGTAGAATAGGAAATCATCCATCTATACATGTGTCCCATCCTTATGGCAATTACAACGATATGAGAATAATAAAATGGATGTGCGATATTTATAAATGTGATGTGTAACTGGAAAATCGTAAAAATACTTAACAGTTGTACTTTATGTTGTAAAAACTTTTTGTTATAATGTGTTAGAAGGTTATGGTCAGGTCGTTCATTTTCACTCAGGGTACAGACAAATATCGAACAACTTGAATAGTTAGAAAACAAACAGGCTAATCTGTGGTATTTCCCTAAGCAGGTCGGAGTGATCGAAACATCAGACAGTTGTTCCGCCCGTTTGGGGTCTTATTCATCAGCGGTGTAGCCGAACAAATTCAGCTAACAGGGCCGAATTTGTTCGGGTACACCGCTGATGAGTAAGAAAGACCGCTAACGGGCGGAACAACAATCTGAAATTTCGGTCACTCCGGTCGTCTTAGGAAAATACCACATATCAGCCTGATTTGTTTCTCAACACTCAAGTTTTTCAACATTGGTTCATGACACTTTTGTGTCAGGGGTCACACCGTGTGATCTCGGCTAAGTGATTTCCAGCCTAAACCTTTTTGACACCACAGCTGGGCAGTTGGAAAACTACTCAGCTGTGAGAAGTGTCATGGTGGACCATACTATTTTTAGATCATTTTTCTAATTGACCAGCCTACAGGTAAGTATTTTGTTGTTCACCCAGCTGAAAATATTAATACAGAAAATAATTTCACCATCCAATGTTTTAAGCATGTTTTCTTTTACAACATTATTGTGTTCTGTTGTTGACGTGTGTTATAACTTCCATAAATATGATCAGACGGAAAGTTTAGCTTTGCTGAATGTAAATCACATCAAGATCTTCCTGATCTTGCAACTCAATTGGTTGAGCACCGAACTAGCAACCCAAAGGTAGCTAGTTAAAATCCTGCCACGGAGGGGATTTCATTTCGTTTCCAGTCAAGACTTACGTTTTCAACTGCAGTAGTGTGAATACTGAAATAATTTTGAGCGAAAGAAATAGCATAAGACCTGAAGTAAGTGTGTAATGGTACAATTTACTACCTCTTATATCAGAATATCACTGGAAATCCGATGAGGATATCATCAGTCATATAAAAAGTTACAAGGTAAAAAGAGAAACTGGCGAAGGAAAGAACTGTACTAAGTGATTAGGTGTTAAAATACCAGATGAAAATTAGGAGCAGGTGTATCTTCACCACTGATATCTATTGTGAGCTATACCGTTGAAGGTCTCGCACCATTTATTTCAGATGTTACTGAGATCATAACCAAGAAACTGTACTTGCTTACAAGAATCAATACAGCAGTCAGTAACTTCATGGACTAGAGCCATACCTAGATGAGGCTGTTTTTTACAGGTTCTTCTGAGCCTGTTTTTGTTGATAATTACATGGATTAGACAATATTTTTGTAGGCATTCCTTAGTTGACAACCATTCACATTCTAACCAGCTACATTGTTCCCTTTACCTAATTGTATGTATTTAAACATAACACTTTTGACAATAAGGGGACATTTTAAAGACTATGATCGTCGACCATCTTCATTCTTAGTAAATCATTAACCTTTATTGGCTACATTTCCCACCTAGTCTTTAGATCAGGGCGCGCCACGGCAAGTAACACTCAGTGGTGATTGCCTACTTAGGTATCTCATAGTTACGATAGTTGAAGAAAAGTGCTGGAATTAGAAGTCATTTTAACCTTTCTTTTACCAGCACAACGGTTTTATTGATTACAGATACACTTTACAGATGAGTAACCTGGCCCGTTCATTTAGCCACTATCTCCTATATTGTCAAAGACAGATTCAAAGCATATCACTGATGTGGCTTCCAAGTTGATTGGTTCCAAGGCTTATTCCATATATTCCCAATTTGTTGCTGATTATTTGCAGACATCTAAGAGAAGTGAGTACTGGCTGTCGTCAGAATGGGCATCTAAACTTGACTGACCTAAAAAATTCTGTAGTGAGGAATTCGATATTCTATTCTTTTTATGTCAAAAGCATCTTAAAACAAATATTCTCCACAATGTAATATACTATTTGTCCCTTCCGTTCCTAGTAGAACATAGGGATTTAGTAGCACGTCTCCATTCAACTCTGTTCTCTGCAAACATTTGAACCTGGTTCCATAACTGCCCACAAGCTCTCATTTCTTCCTCACATCATCTCCTCCATGTTGCCCTCAACTCGGATGCCCAACTTGCCTTTTTCCCTTTGGGTTCCTTTCGAGTACCTGACCTGGAGCGTGATGTCCCCAGTCTGCCTTCTCAGTGTATGCCCAATCCATCTACACTTTCTTCTGCATTTTGTTTGGTAATAAGTTGTTGGTTGGTTCGTTGCCAGCCAGCCACAGATCCTCATTGCTGATTCTTTCTGGCCATCTGATCTTCAGTAACGTGCCAGCGTAGGCAGTTGTTAATGAATATCTGTAGTTTTTTGGAAATGCTTTTTGTAACGCACCAAGTCTCTGAGCACTGACTTGACCGAATTAGTATTGAAAATCCGGATGTTGTTCACGCTTTATGCTGAGTGCAGTGCAGTAGATCTCCACACTGATTTCAGGTCAATGAATGCCTGTCTTGCTTTCCCGATTCTGCTTTCGACGTCCTCGTCTGTGCCTGTGCCACCTGCAGTTGAAACAGCGCTGCTCAGATAGTTGAAGGAGGCTACTTCCCTTAAGTTTCTCCCATTGATGGAGATTGGAGCTTGTTGTTGTTGGTGGTGTTGGTTGGGTATATTCATCACCTCTGTCTTCTCTACATTCTCCTTAAGGAAGACTCATCTTCGCTGCTCTGCCTCTTCTGTCAAATTGTTAGTTTTCACCTGTAGATCTTCGACTTTATGCCACAAGACATTTGACATAAATCATCATGGGCGAAATCCAAATCTTCTAGGCTCTTTTCATCGGTCCAGTCTGCGTATACCCTTCTTCTCGCTCCCCACTGTTTGTTGCATGATCCAGTCGACCACAATCAGGAATATCATGGGTGATAGTTGACAGCCTTGTCTTACTCCTTCCTGTCTTCACTTCAAAGGCATCACTGAGCTTCCCATTGTGAATTACTTGGCTGGCATGTGGCGTCTTCACATAATTGTTGGATGAGGTTGATGAAGTTTTGTGGTATTCCGTAGTGTTGAAGCAGTTTCCAAATTACTTGTCGGTCGACGCTGTCAAAGGCCTTTTCAAAATCCATGAAGTCGAGGTAGAGAATTGGCTACAATTCTATGCTCTGTTCTATGATGATGCGTAGTGTAGTGCTGCAATTTGGTCGGCACATGGTTTTTACTTCCTGAATCCAGCCTGTTTCGGTCGTAGTTTTGAATGCAGCGCATCCTGTAGTTTCTTCAGGATGATGCGGCCCTTAATATTTTGCTTGGAGTGGACAGCAGCATGATTCCACTCCAGTTCTTGCAAAGACTCAGCTTAGGTTGCCCTTCTTTGGGAATTGACAAGGCAGTGCTTTTTCCAATCAATAGGCAGGTGCTTTTCCTTCCGTCCTTGCAAACCTTATGCAATAGTGGTGTGAGCGTATCCGCTGTTGTCCCTGAGTCTGTTCTCAGTGCTTCTGGTAGGATTCTATCCGGTTCTGCAACTTTCCAGTATTTCAGTGGCCTTATGGCGTTCAGGACTTCGACTTTCGTTGGAGGGCTTGTGTTCACTGGTAGTTCTGTGGCTGGGCTGCTGGTGGTATTTCTTGACAAAGTGCAGGTGGTGGTTGATTCGAGGGCCTTTTAAGTGGTCAGGCCATCGTTTCTTTTGTTTCTCTTCTTTCGTAATTAAATTTCCGACATCATCTTTTATTGATTTCATCTGTGTTGATCTCTTCCCAGATAGCAACCTGGTTATTTGATACAATGTTGTCAAGTCTCTATCTCTCCTACCAGCAGCCTGTTCTGCTACACTTGTCAGTGTGTGTTGGAAGTGTCTTTCGTCTTTCTGTGCACTCTTCTTTACTTCTTTGTCCAGTGTTTTAAACATTGTGCTCAGTTCCTCTTGTCGTTGAGCATCCTTGCACTGGTTTATCTTCTGCTTCACCATCCTCCTGTCCTCTATCAGCTTCCATGTATCCATTAACATCCATTCCTTATCTTCTTTCTTTCTCAAACGGTTATGCAGGTTTATTTCCACATCACTCTCAAAGACTTCCAGTGTTCATCCACACAGATTTCTTCGGGAATGTTGCTCGATATCTCCCATTTTGTCTTGATTACTGGCTGACTTGAGGATTTTCTCTGTAGTTTCGTCCTTCAGTTCAGTTTCTGTTCTGGGTGTTGAACTTGGTCTGTGGCCTATCACCAACTTCCTTGACGGCTTTCAACTTGATTTGGAAGGTTCCTTGCACTAGATTGTGGTGTGAACCTACATCTGCTCACCTTCTTCATCTGATTTTGTGTCAAGTAGGCTGACTGCGTCTCCACTTTCTTCACATTGAGATGAAGTCAACCTGATTTTTAATGTGTCTGGTGAAATCAAATCCATGTCGATTTGTGAAGATCCTTGTATTTGTACACAGTGCCTCCGATCACCAAATCGTTGAATGCACAGAATTCTGTTAACAGTTTTCCGTTCTTCATTTCACCGAGTGCTTCTCGACCCATTGTTAGTTTTCTTCCTGTAATGTCCACTCCCACTTTGGCATTCGTGTCGCTCATTAGAATTTTGATATCGCCAACTGGGGTGGGGTCTTCCCCAGTGTTGATTGCAGTTATCTGTAGAATTCCTCTTTCTTCTCTTGATCTGCATTACTTGTAGGTGCTTAGCATTTAATGATTGTGACTTACCTTCGTTTTGAGTTGAACCTTGCTGTTATAATCCAGGAGGAGATTGGTTCCCACTGTTTGAGAGAAAGTCTTCGATGCTCTTGGTGGGGGACATCATGATAATCACTCCAAAACTCAGTGTGCTCGTGGTTGTCATCTGGGTGACAATATCGGAGTAGATTATTGACTCCGCAGTTATTATTTTGGAGAGTCCACTTGCATTCCATCTGCTTTCGCAGATTCCTAGCACTTCACTGCGATACCGCTTCAACTCTTGCAATCTGGGCAGCCTTGCCAGCCGGCCAGCTTCAAACAATGTGCGGACACTCCACGTCCCCACGTTTACTTTCGCTGTCATCGAGAGAAGCGAAGATACATCGGCCAATTGGCTTCCTGAAGGCTTTCACCAACTGGTGTCATTCCGTCTCCCCTATTCCAGCAAGGAATAAGTTTGTTTTCATTTTTTGTATTTTATCTGTGCTTCAAAGTTTTTGTAGCAGTTGGATTGGTTTTCCGGGGTAGGGTTGCTAGTCCTATTCTCAACCTTCTCTCTTTACCAGGGCTAAGGACCGGCTAGTAACTAGTGGACTAGTTAACCAGGGGAGGTTACAATGTAAAATAAGGGCACCGTATTTACAGTAACTTTGAATATTTGTAACAAAACATAAATGTTTTTGAAGCCATTTAAAGGTAGTCACGAGTCTCTACATCCATGAGATATGTGTTTAACTTCTAGGAACCTGACAGCTTTTCAAGAGAATGTGCATTCATCGAATGAATCTGTAGCTGAGAATTCGACTAGCAAATTATGCAAACAGCAATTGCTCTAAAAGGATGTTGTTTAGTGTTTAGATAGATTGCTAAGTCCCTACTAATCCTTGCATAATTATTTGCTACTCAAAAACAACCGCATATTATTTATTTTGAAAATATACTGTACATTTGATACGGAATTTTAAAATTTATTTCATTGGGTACTGGTTTCAGAAAAAAGATTGCACAAAGCATTTCATAGCATTGTTGTTTACATGTATTTATTAAAAAACCGCCCAAATGTTAATTTCCAGTTATGAAATTAAATATGAACACCTTAGCAACCATCTCATCTAATATAGGGATGTTTTCCAATCCACAGATCCAACTACTTTAAAGGTCTAAGTATAAAAGTATAAATTCCACTAAAATCTGTCCAAAGAACTTGTATGCAAATAATTATTTCAGCAAATGATATCAATACTGAAATTAAGCTCAAAATCGAGGAAATTCACACCTTTTTCTGTCAGATTTTGAACTGCAGGTTTGATGTGTGTGTGTGTATGCACTGAGTTAACCATAAAGTTTTTAAACCCAGTAATATTTCAGACGTTTTTCACTGTTGTTCTTAGCATTCTTGGTGTTAAAGGAATAAAACTCCTCCTGTAATTTTCTTCTCCTTTTTTATTTTAATGAATCCTCGCTTTCAATCTGACTAAAAATCTAAGTCTCTCTTGTGCTGAATACCTCATATCTTCTCTGATTTTTGCAGAGTTAATAATTAGAGGTCCGGGTTATCTTTTCTGGGTATTTTCTAGGTAGTGTAAGTTTGTCCTGCTACTTTACTCAACAGATGTCTAAAATAATCGAATATTTCGTGAAAAGTTAGAATGCCAAATCTGACAATGTAGAAGATTTTAATACAACCTTCTTGTTGAAAAATTAAATAACACGAGTTCAGTAATCTTGGGGGGTGTTTGAATTAAAGGGGAGTAAATGTATTTTAGTCAGTTATACATAACAAATACAGGATAACTTAACTATGTTTCAGGAGGAAAATGAAAAGCATGCTCTGGAGATAATTCGATTACAAAGAGAGATAACTGATCTATCTGTTGGGAAATCAAAAGAGGCTGCCGAGTACGAGTGTGAAATTGATACACTTAACAGTCAATTACGAACAACTCACAATAAAGTTCATGATTTATTATCTGAGAAAGAAGATCTTTGGTAAGTAGTGTTACGGAGATGCTTGAACATTTTATCTTCCGGGAGGTTTGATATGTAGCTCTATTTCGTTAAGTTGTTATTATGTAATTTACTGATAAAGCGTGAAAATGTTTGCCAGGCTTAAATATTTCAAAGGCAGTTTACTGAAACGAGTTTACCACCTCTTCCTAGGGAATTGGACTTGTGTAAGGAATCGATATGTTTATAAATTTTGATCAAACTAGTTCTGTAAAGCAGTGAAAGAAGACTTCAGAACTTCAATAAATATTAGTTCTATTACAATAACTGGTGGTAGTGTCGCCTAAGAAGCCTATCGGAAGTGATTAAAACGTTCCACGACATGAATCATGGGGTGAAGTCTCACTTGTGATATAAAAACTGGTATGCGGGTACACTAATTCAGTGAACCCATGAAAGAGTACAAACTACCTTCAATGAAGAATCAGTGCATGATGAACCTCAACGAATAGACAGATTATCCAGTATCAATTACATGGCAGAATAAAATGTATTATTGCAAGCTAAAAAAATAAAATGGTACAAGAAGGTAAGTCAATATATATATATATATATATATATATATATATATATATATGCCAGAAATAATTTACTTGAAGTTGGATATCGAATAACTGCAGAATAGAGGGGGCACAAATTAGTCACTAAAAAGCAACTGAATCCTTAGTGCTAAGTGATAACCGAAATTTACTGAAGAAATTTGCACTGTGATCATCGGGCTGTGTAAAAACATCATGCAGCGCTACATAATATCAGCCATTTGTGGGTATGTCTTAAACCTATGTTTTTTACTCTTTGACACTTATTAGTTACTGTCATCTCTAGCGATGATGGAACTGGTGTTTTCTTGGTGACTTGAACCAGGGTTAATCACTGCCAAGGCCAGATATTTTAGCGTCAAGCTACTCAGAAGGTAAGATGAATCTATGAAGAACTGGATTATATAAAAACTAGTCAAATTGCAAATTTGGTCGATAGACTCCTATAAGCACTTTGAACTGAGAACCTGACAGCTGAATCAATTATCCTATGGTGGCCAACTCATATACGTTTTACCAATCTAGAGGGGATCAGCTATGACTTGCCTAAATTAGTAGCAAAGTCTCTAACTTCATCACTAAGTGATTAAAATTGAAATCTGTGCGAAAACATGACTTTAGTCTACATTACAGGTACACTTGATTGAAGAGTGTCGATGGGTACGGAACTAAGGTCGACTAGCGCTTTCTGTTGATTAGCTGATAAAATGTGACACGAAAACATACGCTTCCCTCCGAAACGTAGTATTGATGGGTGGTGGCTAGCAGTGGAATCCAGAACGCACGTCTCGTCCTCTTTGGGACTGCTCACCTGGGTGTACCTGCCTCCCAGTGAACGGTGTTGTTCTCATTAATACTTGAACCGCGGACCGATCTCTTTAAGCATCAGAAAGTTATCCAATCGGCCACCGAGTCATGACAGCCACTTCTTGTGTGACAAGTGTAATGTTTGGGTTGTTACTTGTATTATCCCATTTTTGGTTGGACCTTATTGATCGGTCTAATTTAGCATATGGACTCCTAAGTGGATGTTTCCATACTGCCTGTCGTTTCAAATGTACAATGGATAGCGGCTGCGAAACGACTGTTTTAACCAATTAGTACTAGTCATAGTGCTGATTGAAAGCGAATTACATATCTCTTCAGGAGAACTCTGTATTTTCAAGCAGATAATAACTCAATTTCATATTGGTAAAAAACTTGGTAGTATTAACTGAAAAAAACTTAGTTTGGTGTTGTTAAAACGACTTTACATTCTTAATGATGTTTTTAAGAAAAGTACTACTGAAGTTCAGAATTAAATAAAACTGTTTTCTGAGTCTCCACAGAGGATTGTATAATTTGCCGGAAGTTCTGTCTTTCAATGTTAACTGAAGTCAGTTAACAAGAAAGTTGATGTTTCAGCATGCTTGTTCATCTTGTCTTGGTAGATGTTTTCAATTTAAAGTAATACTGATCTCCATTGAAATCTTCTCTTCCATCCACCCTCAGTACACTGATGCTTTCCATGATCCCACTAACGTTTACAGCATTTACAAGACATTTCCCTGAGCTGGATGGTAAAAGCTTCACTACAAAAGTTCTTAAATAGTGAGATTATGTTAATTTCGCTCGTGTTAAGTAGCTATGAGATGTTCAGCAGATATTTATACATCAGGTGTTTTTGATCTTTGAAGTTTCTATCACTGTGTTTGATATAATCTTTATTAACTGGAAGTTTCAAAACGTGCACTTTGAAATTTCTAAGTGATCAAGATCAGAAGTGGAAACTGACCTATGCACAGAATTGTAATGGCACGAAAATACTGATGACTCCTTGGTTTTAACCTCTTAGTGATATGACTTTAAATTTAGAGGGTAAATTTCTAAGTTCATGTGGAATTCACAGGCAGAAGTAACAAAGATCCACTCTGTGCAATGTATCTAGTCTTGTATACGACCAAAAATAACTTCGCAAAATACTTTAAGATCCTGTTTTATATTTAGCAGTGAACACCTCTCAGAGTTAAGAACTTTGTGTGGATAGTTATCTACCTGTTATCCGAAGGTATGTAGCCATTAGAATACATAACATTATTTCTGTTATTGAGAAGTCCAATGTTCGTAATTTGTGGTTTTTGGGACTTCTAAACAATAAATGTCTCCAAGATTTTGGTTACTCATCCTCACTTCAGGTCTTCAAACTGTATCTCGAGCAGACCTTCTCAGGATACTTAAGTTACAAGTGACCTAAATTTGTGACAACCAGTGCAGTCAGAGGAGAAGGTAGTTGGTTGTGCAATACAGGCTGCTTTTTGAGTAAAGTCACTGAAAGAATTTTCGTTCGATCTTAATAATAATAATAATAATAATAATAATAATAATAATACTCATCTTATAAGTGTAAAACTTGGGCACTGTGGTAGAATGTAGTTCCATATTAGATTTGTTTATTTGATATAAAGCGCACAGTGATACAGTATTATTTACTTGATTACGTTTCGAGCATAAATTATTGCTCATAATCATATCAATGTAATCACACTTCTTTCGACATCTGATTTTATAGTCCTGTCACCTGATCTCTCTTTGTTTTTTGATTGGTAGTAAAGTTTTCCATATCTCTGGTATAGGTGTTGCGTCATTCCTATTACATGTGTTGGGTGTGGATTCGATGAACAAAGATTCAGTAATTAATCTCTCTCTCCACCTAGCTATATTAGACTTAAGTACAGTGGTTTTGTCCCATCCTATTGTGTGGTTGTGTGTTAATGAATGTAATGCAATGGCTGAGTGTTTTTCTAGGTTATTGATCTTATTGGGGTCTGCCGTTCTATGTTTAGCTAAATTCCTATGTTCTGTTAATCTAACTGACCCCGACCGGCTAGTTTGACCTATGTATTTGACTTCACAGTCATTACATGGAATTTGGTAGATTATATTATTTTGCTTAATTGGTTCTATCGGATCTTTTAGCCGACAAAGCTTACCTCTAAGTGAGTTTGTTGGTTTAAATGCCACCCTAATTCCAACCTTGTTGAGAATCCTACGTATGGTTTCTGATGTTCCTTCCTTGTATGGTATCACAATAGAGGTGTTGATTTCCTTTCTACTTATGTTGTCACTATTATTTGTATTTGTATTAGTGTTATTATTTTGCTTCTTATGCGTCCGTGTGAATTTCTTAATAAAATGATGGGGATAATTATTAGTTATTAACGCTTCTTTTATGTGTTTCAATTCCTTATTTAAGTCCTTACAATGACTAGTGAGTTTCTCAGCTCTGTTATTTAGACATTTGACTAAACCCGCTTTAACTGACACTGGATGAGATGACTTGAAGTCTAGATACCTGTTAGAATGTGTTGGTTTTCTGTAGACGGTAGTATCTAAACCACCATCTATCCTTCGTTTTATTCTGCAATCCAACATAGGTAATTCTCCTTGTTCATTTTCTACTTCGTAGGTGAATTGGATTGCGTTAACTACTGAGTTTATGTGTGTCAAGAAACTGTCGATATGTTCCGATTTCAACACTGTAAATGTGTCATCTACATATCGCCACCATATCTTAGGTGTCGGATTATATGTTCGTAAAGCCATATCTTCCCAACTATCCATAAATATATCTGCTACTATAGGGGATATTGGTGATCCCATTGCTACTCCTTCTGTTTGTCTATATATCTTTCCCTGAAACTTGAAGACTGTCGAGGTTAAGCATAACTGCACTCCTAACATGATTTCACCAACCGATGCCTTGGTTCTTTGAGTAAGTTGTGAGTCAGTATCTAGTTGATTTCTGACTGCCTCCAGTGCCATATTGATTGGTATTTTAGTATAAAGACTTGTTACGTCAAAACTAACCATTTTTTCATCCTCTTCTATGTGCAGGTCATTAAGTTTTTGTTTCAACTCGTAAGAATTTACTAGTCTAGAGTTGGAACGGTCTCTAACAGGACGTAATACTGATGCTAAATACTTTGATATCTCATATGTTGGTGTGTTCCGGAAGTCAACTATCGGCCTAATGGGATAACCTGCTTTATGAACCTTAATAGTACCGTAAATTCTGCTAGGATTATTAGTTTTTGGCATTAAAGTAAACCATTCGGACTTACCTAGAGATGGCTTCAGTCGGCGTATCAGATCTGTTGTAGATTTCTTAATTTTATTCATGACAGTATCTATAGGTTTCTTAATCTCTTCATATGGCCCTGTTTGGATATGTTCATCCATTTTTTTAAGATAATCCGATTTGTCCATAACTACTGTTGAGTTACCTTTGTCAGATTTAGCAATTACTATACTATTATCCTTTCGTAGATTGTTTAAAGCTGAATTTTCCAGTTTCGTTAAGTTTCGCTGTGTCTTCTTCTTCTATTACCAAACAAAATGCAGAAGAAAGTGGAGATGGGTTGGGCATGCACTGAGAAGACCGACTGGGGACATCACACGTCAGGCCCTCGAGTGGAACCCAGATGGGAAGTGACGAGTTGGGCGTCCGAGGGTGACATGGAGGAGATCGTGCGAGGAAGAAATGAGAGGTTGTGGGCTGTCGTGGAACCAGGTTGAAGAGTTTGCAGATAATACATATATATACTGTTATTTGTCCCGTGGGTTCCTAATGGAACATAGGGCTTCACTAGCACGTCTCCAGTGAACTCTGTTCTCTGCAAACTCTTCAACCTGGTTCCACGACAGCCCAGAAGCTCTTATTTCTTCCTCGCACGATCTCCTCCATGTCACCCTCGGACGTCCAACTCGTCATATATATATATATATATATATATATATATATATATATATATATACATTTCAAATAGTGTTAATATAACCATTTATGAGAACAGAATTATTTCGAGGAATATTTTACATTGTTAGTTAGACGATTGGTCAGGGATTATTTATTGTTGCATCGTTGATAAGTGATTTCTGTAATTTCCGGAATGGTTATACTCTTGAAAGCCCACTTGCGTCCACCATAGTGGGTTTTTTAATTTATCTGTCAACTTGTAGAGTGTTAGATTGTAAAGATTTTACAAATGCGCGAGAGTATATAGTACAATTAGATAACATAACTGAATAATTAAAACATTGTTGAAAGGCGAAACTTGATGCGATATATTCCATGATAAAATAAGTTAGCCTAAAGTTCAAGCAGGTACCCTTTGACTGTTTGGTATCCTTGCATCCATAAAAAATTGTTTCTCAGATAGCATTTTTTCAAAATAAACCTAGCCGCTAGTTGAAATATACATCTATTTTGAGCATTTACTTAACTGAAACCTAGCACGTATCTTTATTTGTTTTTCTAAACGTTTTATTTAGTAAACAACTACACGAAGTCAATCATAAATTGAATATCAGCAGTCAAGAAAAAGATGAGTTGCAAAAGAAATCTGAAGCTGACCTATCGAAAATAAAAAAGGAGAAAGTAGGTATAGTACCTGTGTTTATCGACAATGCCTATAATAGATGAAATTATTATTACAACTAAAAGCAGTTTAGATTTCATTTCTTAGGAACTGATGTGTGTGAAATAAAGCCAGTAAATGAATTGATATAACACGATGGTGCCCTTCGTTTGATTTGTGTAGCATGTCAACAGGAAGACTAGTGTTCAAGTTCACATTCATTACCAACCATTGGTGGGAAGTATATCGGACACCTGTCAACTGACTACAAAAATTCATCATCTAACAGAATTCATTGGTGTCACGTACCAGTCAGCTTAATTGCAACGATTTAAAGTAACCGGAGAAATTTCTATTAGCCTTTAGGATAAAACAGCTACTCCAGCTTTTATCCAGTGACAAAACTATGTACCTACTTTTATCCCATGGAGTTTAACAATAACCTGAGTAGTTTAGTGACAACATTTCTTTCTCCATTAGTGAATGGGTTAAACAGGAATAAGGGATGAAACATGATGTATCTAAAGGTTATGTATGTTTGTTAAAAAGTCAAGCGAAAAAGACCACTCAGTGCAGTAGGTGTGATTGCGGCGATAAGAAAATGAATGAGATCATATAAGTGGATTGCGAAAAATGCATTTCAATGGGTTGTTTCCTTATTATGTGGATAGTATAGGTTGACCATAATGAGTCATGAAAACAAAGGAATTACGTAGTTTCCAGCAAGAGATTTCACAATTACTGTTAAAATATCTGCTAGTATTTATTCCAGGTTAGTAATCGTTGACTTTAGTGATCAACGCAACAGCAATATAAACAAAGTTGATGAAAAGCAATTAATTTTCCCCAGCGTCAAGTATGGGCCAATTAGCTCATATATGGGTTTCGCTCGTATGTTTATTCGAGTAGAAGTAAGACAAAAAACCATTGAATCGCACGTGTGGTAAGTCAAAATGATAGCTTCAGATTGAAATCGCTTAGCAATATCGTTTTCTATACGCAATTTAACCTTAAATCACTTAAGCGATTAATTTTAAATCTCACCCAGTACATATGCTTCACTTTTTATGGGTGATTTGAATCACATAGTTTGTGTACCTAATTTCAATCACTTAGCTTCAACGTTCCGGAGAGTCTCTGCGAGGTAATCCTGAAGGTTGTTTTCATTGTCAGTGCAGTAGTTTGTATACCTCGGGTGCTCATGAATCGCATGTAGCACCAGGCCTTTTGTTAGCAGCAAGCTAATAGATATTATTTTTTTTCCCTTGGGTTCCTAGTGGAACATAGGGATTCAGTAGCACGTCTCCATTGCACTCTCTGCTGTCCAGTCTTTTCAAGCTCACTCCAAAACTCCCCCATAAGCTTCCATTTCTTCCTCACATCATCTCCATGTCACCCTCACCAACCAACTCGTTGTTTTCCCTTTGGATTTCACTCAAGTACCTGACGTGGCCTGAGGCGTGATGTCCCAGGTCAGCCTTCTCAATGTATGCCCAATCCATCTCCACTTTCTCTTGCATATTTGTTGAGTGATAGGTTCTTGCCTCGTTGGTTCGTCGCCAGCCAGCCACACTTCCTTGTTGCTTATCCTTATTATTCTGGTCATCTAATCGATCTTCAGTATTCAGTGAGCGTAGGCTGTAGCTGTTGGTGAATGTCTGTAGTTGGTTGCAAGTACTGTTTGTCGTGACGTGCCAAGTCTCTGAAGCATATAGCAGCACTGACTTGACTGAGATTGGTGTTGAAAATCCGGATCTTGTTTTATATCACGAAGAGAAGGACAAATTAAGTGGAATCAAAACTCTTTGGTGTTTGAAGTAATTGGCACTAGGTTTGGTTCCCATTGGGAACAACGTCGCTCACCAGCTGACTATTTCCAAAGAGGATGAAACACACGTTCCTAACTTCATTGTTAATCACTAAGCAGACAAGAATCAAGACTGTCTAAACAACGATCAAGAAGTGAGATACGTGGTTTGACTTAGTTTCAACCTCTTCCCCACCTTACAAACACTGATATTGACAACATGCATGCGCTAGAAAAGATAAGCACATAGGTACACACAAAACTCAATCTATAATTTGTACAATCATCACACTTAAGTTACGGCATACGGTTTTTATTCTTCTCAACAGTTTTACAACGCAGAATCCCCCGTGCAGAAAACTCAGATCAATTTATCATATATAAGCTTACATACTAAATCTTTGATAAAGTTATTAGCAATAAATAACGAAATTTCAGTTAAAACAATGTTTTATTACTTTTTCCTTAATTATGAAATACAATTGCCAAAGCAATAAATATCCTTTACCCAATGCTCAAATTTTCTGAAGTCCTCAGATCCCAACTAGATTTGCATATTTGTAGATAACTATAATGTATAATTCAAAAACATGTATGATTTTCTATGTTACTTTCTATGATAAAATGAGTTCATAAGGTAACATGTTCACTTAAAGTACAATCAAGACTCACTGGGACAGCAATTCTTTGTTTCTATACAAACTAATTTCGAATAAAATATCGTAACATACCATGAACTAATTAATTTAATCTATAGTCATAAGTTTATCAAATAAATATTTTTTTATATATCTCATAAAGGTGTTCACATTTCAACACATATTTCTTTCATTCTTTGACCTAATTATTGATTATTTCGTGCAAATTTTGTGCAATGAAACCTAATATCTCATGTTTTATGATTACTATAGTAACACTAATAATGATCACTGATTATTTATTCTAGTGTTGCACAAAATTGTACAATTGTATAAAAATATTGATCGAATTATTTATTTTGATAATTGATGAATAGAATAGTTCTATAACTAAGGTAAACACAAAAGGCTAGAAGGCTAACCATTAAATGAATATTCATCTTTTTCACAGTCAATTAATGGGTTGATTTAACGAACTGTTTACTTATTTTTCGTAATTCAAACATTTCTATCAGATATTTAAAACAAGAATTATTGGAGTGAACATCGATTTCAATAACTTCTCTTCAGATTTCAACATCAATGAATATTATTATCAGATAACCAGTGTAAGGCATAAAGAAGATAATAGCTGAAAAAGCGAGTATGAAGAATAGATGGAATCAAATGTAGTTGAATTTAATTAAAATGAGTATGATTTCAATACTTGCATAGCGGACAGTCAGTTATTAGAAAAGACTATTTGACTGAATGCATATGTATATATATATATATATATGCAAGGGCGCATGACAATTTCATACTAAGTAAAGATACAGATCTCAGGAGATAAAATACAGAGGATGGAATGGGAAGTTATGCGAATCTAATTACAAAATAGGATAACTGAAAAACATCATTTTAGTAAGTACATAGTTTTGGTTCAGAATAGTTGTTTGATACGGTTATGATAAATAAAATTGGAGTTCGTGTATACGAATTAGAGGATAATAACAAAATCAGCTGCTTACACATAATCTCAGTAGTAAATCTCAGTGAACAAACGGGAAGATTGTGTACCTGTGTAGAGGTAGAGAGAAACAGAGTTTTATTGCATAGCAACTAGATAATTAAATGTTTCAATTTTTAATGAATTGTGAAAGTAGGGGGGGGGGAATGTAAAGTTGAAATTAAGATGAAATAAAACGATATTGCGAATCAATGGTTTGAAATTTGTGATAACATAAGGCAAATTTCTAGTTGGAATTCATCGGTAGGGCATATCTATAACCTCTGGAGAACTGATATTCTACCTGAGATTCGAATACATGTCATGCAGTGCTACAGTCAGAGATGCTACTACAAAGCTATTCGGGCCGCGAATAACCACGTGTAAGAATGTAACTGCAAACATTAGTTGATCACTGGGAGGTAACCATCTTCACGTTGTCTAGTCTTATGTGATGATTGACTTCTATTGATCTTTTTACAGCGTGGTCATCAGGCTAGTAGGTTGCAAATACGCCAGGTTAACAAGTGCCAAAGAGCATAAAACTTTAAGTCAAGAGCTTCCTGCCGATTGCCTCCATCCAACTACCACCCCTCTCATTGCATCTCCATGATAAATCTCTTAGCCTGGTGACCACAATGCAAAGGGATAGATAGAATTTGATCAGCACATAGAACTAGAAAACACAAAGTTGATAACCCTCTATTGATTAATCAATGAATGAAATGAAATTAGAAATAAGAGCCCTTTCCGCAACATTTGATCTTTACATTCCTTCCTAACTGCTGACTTCATTTCGCTACCTTTTGCTTTTATTGTCTTTTATTTTCCTTACATTCTGAGCAGTGTGGAAGCGTAAGTCGATACATTTTTTTTTACAGGTTTTCCTTCCCCCTCCATTAGAGGATATTAATGATCTTTGTTAGTTCATATTTGAGTGTCGCAATATGCTATCAAATGAAGCGAAAAATTTTCCACCATTTAAATTCTCAGTATTTCCAAAGTATTGCAGTACAACTACTTCAGATTTATTTTTCTTTGAAGTCTAACAGAAATCAGTATAACTTTTTTTATCTATTGTATTGTGTATAATCGATGTTTTTATTATCAAATAAAGGAAACAGAATTTGCCCAAATTCAAACTAACTTACACGAAAGTCATAAAAGCAAGTTAAATGAACTACAAATGCAATTTGATAAAGACATTGAAACACTGAAAAGAATTACGAAACAGAAACTGAAAAGTTGAAGACAGAATTAAAGGTTAGTTGATGGTGATTTTCGATTGTAAGTCAATATTACGCATTAATACTTTCATAGATGTTTTTGAGGATTTCTGTCATAAAGTGACTTACAAATCTGAATTTCTTATGCCTATATGATTTATTCTCTGAAGTTGTGTTAAATACTTGGTTGACTGGAAAGTGTGAATAATTTACAACTCATCCTGACCATACAAGATGACAATAATTTTTATCGTTGATGCAGATAGTATATTAAAAAAGAAAAAGTAATGTTGATTAAACTTCAAGTTCAGAGAATAGAGAATATGAAAAGCCTTGTAGTTTGCTTATTAATGATTTTCACACCTGGAAACGATCAAAGTCAACCATGAATATTTGCTTCCTATATAATGGTGACCGAAACATTATTTAGCTGAGATAAATGTATTCACATTAATCAACCTATGAAAGTCGAAAGCTTTTGATCATTCAGATCCTAAAGAACTATTTTCACTAGCCTCTCATAATCTTAAGTCTGTAGTCTACAGTGTGATAAAATTTAATGTCAGTGTAGGATGGATTTTTGACAAGATGTAATATAGACGCGGAAATTCATATATTAAAACAGTACACAGAAATATATATTGAAAGCTACATTGAATAGAAAAAAATCGGGATAGAAGTGAATCCAGTATCTGGGCTTTTCTTTATGGCATCTTTGTTTATGCAGAACTAATGAGACTAAAAGTTTTTGTAGCCGTTCATGGATGACTGAATCGAGTTTCCAAGAACAAACCTGATTTGAACTTCGTCAGGCAAGTACTTCCTTAAAAAATTTATATGTTTAGTGTGACCGCTTTACTTAACAGCGATGCAGCGTGCTTTATTTTAGTCATTCACCAACCAAATAGGAATTAGGTTACCAGATACTGAAACTCCTTTAAGATGTGTGGGCAAATTTTCAGAATGAATAATATTTTAATTAAATACACTGATATGGAGTTACTTGACTTTTCTCGGAGATGTTGAATCATAAGCGTAATAGAGGATCTGTCATTCCTTGAATCACCATCCATGAATATACAGAGAGAACCATTCAGCTAAAGTAATCAACTGATTATATTTAGTCTTTAGGAACATCACAATACTGTTAAAAACATAGTAAGAAATTCAAGAGACAAGGCTGTTCACTGTGAATTGGGAATGAAATATTCGTAATAATACTGTGAAAGGAAAAAAGGTGTGTTCAAAGTTGTTCAGACTAGTTTGTGGTGTTGGCATCTTGTGGGTTATAAATTAGATAGTTTCTACAAAACTATTCTTAATTCCTTCTAACTATTCATAGTAGTATCACCGGTTAACCAAAGAAATGTGAGCTTCCTCGGGTAGTATATTATGGTAAGCTGGACAATATAATTTCTGCAGTTTATGATAAGATTAACATTGCGGTCACAAAATAGTTTTATACATAAACGTTTTTTAAGTTCTAGACTTTACACCTTTATGTTATTTATTTAAGAGATTTCTTAAGCTAGAGGAAGATTACTTTACATCACCGGTAGAGGATGTATGGATTTACATCTGCGTTTTTTCTAGATGGAATAAGTTTGACCATCTGTCCGTCACATGTTTAGCTACAATCCACAACTTTTTTATTGGTCAAGCTTGATTCAGTCGCTAGTATGCATATTACTTAAAAGTCATATTATCTGAATTTTATTGAATGGTTGACTGTTTGCCAGTAAGCCAGTGCTTTTAAGACTTTGTGTGTATAATAAATACCATTAAGTAAGATAGTGTAAATACGCCCAATCAAAAGCTCTGAAGTTTAAACGAAAGCTATTTAATGCAAATAATAAGCTAAGAAGATACATTTTAAGATGATAAATATTTTGTTTCTAAAATTATGATAAAAATGATCATTATTCTTTTTCTTCCATGCACTGTGTCTAACATAAACAGGATGTAGAGTCTCTGAACAAACAATTAACGTGTTATATTGACACACTAGAAAGCTGTATCCAGAATACAACTAAAAACAAATCTTCTAATCAGTTGGTACAGACTGATATTCAGGTTATCCCAGTGGGATTCAGGAGAGCAAGTATAATACAAGAGAACACGAAAAGCAGTTTAACTCAGCCTACCCAAATTTTGGGTGCTCCAATCACTGGTGAATATACGAAACAGAAATTGAATAATTTAATAAGCTTTGAAAAGTCAACGAATACTACTACTGATCAACTTAGTGTAAGTTAAACTGAAATTGTTTTTATGAAATGCATTGTCCAGTTGACAAGAAGACTGATTATACTTGCATAGACTTGTCTGTAGCTCAAGGGTTGGCTGTTATGTACACGATGAAACATCTTTAGACAGAGTGGATTTTTTATCCGTAATATACTCTGTTTTACACAATAAATTATCAAACTCAATAAAGTCAAAATTGCTCGTAATTACTGGATTGCATTTGTAGATGCAGAATAACATATGATAGTAATGATTCAAGGATTGGGAAACTGTTAAATCCTGATTGGCCAGTTTATTGAAGATAGTTTAGAAGAGGAATGTTAACGGTATTATCATGAATGAATACTTTTCAGATTAAGACTACAGCCACTGATATAGGAGTAAAACATGCATATCATGGCAGATTATAACTCTATGTTGGTTTCCTAATTTGGTACAATATTACTCACCGGGTGACATTTGAGATACAATTCCCCATCCATAATCAAAGGAAGTTTACCCCATAACCTAGGAAACTTACTTCTATAGTTTTGGGGTATTTTATTCTCATTTTAAGTCATCATATTCATAAGATATGTATTGAGTCTCTTCTTTCACCTGTACCAGGTAATAATTCTTTAAATAAAGATTTTAAAACCATCCTCTCTATCTATTTGCACCTATATTGATCCTCAAAGAAACCTCTTTATCCCCTGATTGAAACAACTATGGTGAAGACAGATATCTCAGAGGATTTCATGCTTCTCCAAAAGTATGATTAGAGATGTGGATGACACATTCACAGCATTGCAATCATACACTTTCTGCATGTATAAGCTTCGTATTTAATATAACTCAGTTCACCTAGGAATAAAGAAATGAACAGTTAAGTGTTACCTTACGTTGCGAAATGAAACCAAAACCCGAAGATAATTTACATACTTGTGCGCACTGGAAACCATTACATGCTAATAAACATTTGGATTTAATAACATACCATTCTATTTATGTTAACCTACGCTTCATGTGTTTCAGTAATCAAATCAGTAGTCATATCCCCATACCAACAAATCTAAACATTCAATTCAAACATTGAAAGGGCTTCTACTAAGCAGTTATTCTCTAGAGTGCATGGAATAATTTACAAAACAACATCAGAGAGAGGAAACTATTAAAAGAAACATTGACAGCAGTTTCGTTATTAAAAATGTCTAAACCCTTGAAGTATTAGCAAATATATAGGCAACTCTGTGTGGATTTCTGAATAAATCTTGCATTCATGCGGCTCATGTACACACGAATGTACTCTGAGAGGAACTTTGTGGGCTAATGGATCATATAAACTGGATTAGATAAATATGGTTTAATTTGAAGCCACTGGTTGTAAAGTCAAGTGTATTCGTACAACTGATCAATTAACGTCACTTCAGATATAAAAGGACAAAACTCTGATTACTTGTTTGTCAATCAGATCATTTTTGTTAGTTTGAAAGAGTGGGTTTTTATTTAAACCTCGGCGTTTGCAAAACCGTCTTCCATAACTAAACTAAAATGTGTTCGCTCTCCTCAAAGACATAGTCATTAACTAAGTTGCCTAAAAGTTTTTATATTTTAAAGGAACTCCGCATTACACACTGTCACCCTATGTAAATTCATCAAAAACTGAAAAGAATTGGTTATCTGCTCTATCGTATCTTGAAATTTATCATCAGAACATTTTAGAAATTAAGATGAATCGACATGAGAGATATAGGGTCTTAAGGATACTGCAGATGTAGAAATAGCAGTCATTAGATTCTACTCTTATCTATGAATGGTAACGTCTCAGAAATGAGGCCTTTAGGCTGAAAGTTCAATTAACCAGAGTCAAAAATTTGGAGTGTTAGGAATGTGTGAAGAGAAAAATGTTTAGCATTTTGTACTGCTAAGTGGCTTCCTGAATAAGATTATCCGATAGTGTAGAGTATTTTTAAGGAAGCCTATTTGTCAGGAAAAACTGACTGGAATAATACTTCCGGAGTTGCTTTCATGAAGGATAGAGCAAAAAGTTTGAAAAGGTGAGCCAACCTGTTGACTGGTTGGTAAAATACTGTTCATGAAACCTGACGATCATGCGTTCTCTTCCACATGGGATTTCGGATGTGCACTACCACAGGTTCAGAAATTATGGTGAAACGATTAACTACCCGCTGTTTTCTGGTTTTCTATTGCCTTCTGACTAATGTCATTCATCATTGAAAAATACTTTGAAACCATTCAACTGACCTTCTGAATGAACAGTTTATTACTGTTTGTTTTTATCATAATGTGTCTGTCCATTTTACCATGTTTTACTTTCAGGTCATTCCGAACGCTCCTCACGTACGTTCTATGAAGGAAAAAGAGTATGAAAAAATTATCGACAGCTATGAACACAAGTTATCTCAGATGCAGTTACGCATACATCAATTGTGTCATGACCATGATTCAATAATCCATTTGTTTAATAACACTGCACACGGAATCGTAAAGTTTGGAAATCGGGAATGTACTCGTTTCAGTAAATTACTGAATATATCTAATCACGATATTGAATTTCCTACACAAAGAGTTGATACACCTTTTCCAATGAAGAAATTACAAGAAAATGGAAAAGTAATGAACTTATCAGAGAGCAGTTTAATCGCTAAAAGGTCATTTTTAACTGTGAATCATTTCATTATTGCATTTAATTTAGTCCCACTGATTAGCCTTCTTTTGAAGGGGATATATTTTTCACAAGTGCGGTGACTTGAAGTGAAATGTAATCACATTTTCTATAAGAACAAAAGGAAATAATGAGTAGATTTGAGATTAAACTTGAGTTCTTTAGGATTATTCAACACCATAAAGCTGGTACATTAATAGGTTAAAAACCTTTACGTAGGAGTTTACAGTGTAAAGTGGAGAACGCCATCTTCAAAAAATCCTTCTATAATTCAGTCAACGTATCATTGTAATCTTTGAAATAAAGGGATAAACGGTTAAGTAATAAGAAATTAGTCTCGCACTAACTGGAACCTACCCAAGACTATTAGTCAGTGCTTAGCAGCCTACTTAACAAGTTTCTTTTATTCCCTGATTTTTTTCTACTTGTCATGTCTGATAACACAACGTCACCTCCTGTTTGAGTTACGTCAGTCTTTAAAAAAAAATTCTGTGAAAGTTCTTTGAAAATAATCTCTTTAACTGAATATTCTCATTCATTATTACCAAGACAAAGTGGATATAGTGACAGCTGTAAGTAATGAATCTTAATGGAAACAAAGTTACCCATTAATGACATATTAACGCCAGAAAAGATAATAATTACTGTCTGTAAATAAAGTCAGGATGCTGCGTTTTGCAAAATCAATGAAAGTCACTACATGCTGCTATTTATGGTCTAATATAAGTATGTTGAGAAATGATGTAATTTATTTTCTTACTTCCTCTAGCTAAATATAACAGTGATGATGGCATAGTTCTTACTAAATAAAAAACATTAATATCAACCACTACAGCACGAATGATTGCCAGACTGATCGCAACTATAAGTATTAAAAAAATGAAGACTAAACATGAGAAGATGAAATATAAACTTAAAATATAATCCTTTTCAAGCTTGAAAGTTTGAAGAGTTTGCAGCTGGAAACTAGGAGCCAATACACATATAAGAAGGTTCATCGTTTACTATAAAGCATAAATGACTTCGAAAAACAGTAATGTACAATTCGTAAGTCATAGAAAAAATTCTATTTTTATGCAACCATTGAAAGATATCTCATGATCATAAGCGCAAAATTTGAAAAACACAAGCCTTCGATATCTGGTTATATTGTTAGCATACGCTATGAAAAATTAGTGTCCCGGTGTAGGACTTTCCAGCAGCATGCACCTATGGGCTTGCCAGGAGTCGGACTCAAGATCACCAGGTCCTGTGACCAGCACGTGGCCAGTGAGCCACTGGGTCAGCACTTAGTCATCTACATTTCTTACTTCTGTCACTTCACAATGTGGTGTGACCTTAATCTAACGACATCATTGAGTAACTGTCCTCATGTCCGACTTTGTTGGCCTCACCGGTCATGATTTCTCAATAGTAGTGTGCCGGCCACAGGGCCCGAAGGTCCTAGGTTCGATTGCCGGCGGGGTCATAGGTAAGCATAACTGAGAAGTCTCATACTAGGACAAAACAGCTGCCCAGTGCTTCCAGGTGTCCAGTGTTTCTCCAGATAATGTCAGTCGATCAATATCAGCCTGAGGCCAATAAAAAATCCCCGCGAGCCTCCAAACTGGGATGAAAACACTTCTTAATCATTAAACTATGATCCAATGAAGAAAGAAGACCTTCGGATTAAGAAGTTTAGGGGTTTAATAAGTCTCAAGACACTAGTGAGGGCACAAAAAGGAAAGAAAATGGTGGAACACTTCTGTTTTCTGCAAAATCTCCATGAGCAAATGCTTATTAACGAAGGAGAGTAGTTTCTCAATCGGTAGAACAATTATCTTTTCATGTGGCGAAAATATTTCAAAAATCCCATTCGGCGTAGTCATCACATCTGACTTCAAAAAATTACCCAAGGATAGCTTATAGAGTGCAAAACTATCCATTGTTTGCCAAAACTCACTCCAAACACCAACAGTTAATTCGTTGACCAGGCAGCCTAAAGACGTGCCGTCACTGATCTAAACGTATATAGACAAGCGAATCTACTTCATCTACTTAGGTATGCAAAACATCTGACATGCAAACTTATAGACTTCCTAGAAATTCCTAAACAAGTTGCCTTCAAGTTGGGTGTTAACTTGCAAATGCATTTAGAAGGTGACCACTATTTTAGAATTCAACGAAAACAGAATAAATGAGTTAAGACCTAAATTGTTTACTGTCAGTTGCTAATTCTACACACCAGAAAGGCTTCTTTTCAGTCTTATTGGGTAAAAGTCAAAAGTTGTAGACGGTTAGCAGTGGACAACAAGACTACCATGAATTGGGTGTAGGAGTATTTGTTAGTCACATGTTTTTAGGATGCACAAATAATCATTTCAGAATTCATTTACGGATGCATTATTTATGAAAAAGATAGGAAGGAAATGTATACTTATATGTTGTTAGAAAATTTATTGGAAAGATATTTTTTACTACAATAATGACAAGTTACTTTTAACCACTTTATAGGATCTCCAAAGGATTGATTTTCGGTGAGCCACAGACTAAAAGTCACGCGGTTTTAAGCACTAAATATGATGCTTTCAACAACGAGTTCAACAAGTGAAAACTATACGTCAATTACTTCTCGAAATGCAACACTTAGACCACTAAAAAGGACCGACTGTTTACATGACTACTTAAAGCGGCAAAACAATTAACAGTAAACAAAAGCTAGCTTTTGAAAGCAGTTCTCTCCCAAAATTGGCATAACGGAACTCTTATTGATTTGGAAATTAGAAATGGAAGGAAATCAAATCAAATCAAGGCACACATATTGAAAGAAACGAAACCAGTTCAGTGGCAAACTTTAAAAGTTAACCGAACAATAACTCACCAAATCTTATATGGAATGTAGTAAAACTAGTTTGAGAGGGAAATTTAAACGTGTGATTTAGAAATTTCGATGGTATGGTGAATGTGCAGACCAACTTGCCTTCAATAACACCCATAGGAATGCATAATGGCTAGCAGTGGAATACACGAGTTTTCATAACCAGGAATTCACTCAATACTACTAGTTGAGGTTTCCGAAGAAACTTGCTCTGAATTAATGGGAAAAAAAATGAAAGTTTGTAGTTAAACACCATCAACACTTATCCGCGAGTTTCACAAGAAATACAATAGAAACAGGGGTTATATCATCAATAGGTATATCATAGGTAATGAACTTTGTTTTGCAAGAGGGTAATGGATGTTTGGTATTCAGATTGCTCTTGTTTGTCAAAAAGAACTTGAAGACCATCCAGAGTAACCAGTTTCTAAGTTTGTCTGAGAGTTCAAACGTTTATCTTCTCGGTAAACAGCTCTACTTGACTTAGTTTTTGTAGTTATTGGTACTTATTAGCAGAGTATAACTATAGTCACAAAAAAATTAGGCCTTGAAGGAGACTCGAGTCGAAGTCACTTAGAGTTAATGACAAAAGTCTAATATCAGACTACTCAAATCATGCTGGCGCGTGTGCAACAAAATTATTTTCACGAAGTAGTTACTAAGAGGAGACCAGTTTACTTTTCTAATGTAGATGTAGATCTGATGTAAATTTTCTGTATGGATGTTTGTCTAAGATGTTTGGACACTTATGATTGAGAATAATTCAAAATATTTGTTTTGTTTGTTCTGATATACTGTATCGGGATTACACAAGTAAAATACACCTTATACAATAATTTTAATACCTTTTATTTTATCGTTCCAGCTGGATTAATCCAATGGTTGAAGTGATTGGTAAATTGTCAGCTTATTGCATAAGAATATGTGATTTAGTTGAGTCGCAACAGGAACATTTAGAATGGCAATCTGAAAATTTAAATGAACTTCGCGATATTACACGAAAACAAATTGAACTCCAAAACAAGCAGCTCATTAAAACACGTAAAGCTAATTTGAATCGTTTAAGAAACTGTTTAAAACAAGTTAGTTACGCTTAGTTGGCTATCAGTCTACATTATTTGTATACGTATAATTATTTTAATCGAAATAAAACAGTCCATGATAATTTGCTTGGTTGTGGCTAGCAGAGGAATCCAAGACGCGCGTTTCTTCCCATCTGGGACTTGTCAGCTGGATGCACCTGCCTCCCAGCGAAAGATGTTGTTCCTGCCAAGACTCGAACTCGGGAGCTGTTAAAGAGATCAGTTCAGGATTCGAGTCCTACTGGGAACAACATAACTCACTGGGTGTTGGTACTTCCTGTTGAAAAGTCTCAAATAGGACAAAACGCGTGTCCTGGATTCCTCTGCTAACCACAACCAAGTATATTACCACAATAAATATTCAGGTAATATCAAGGCGTCCGCATAGGAGCTCATATGACAGCATAGGTTGAACAGTTCGATCCAGTAAAGCAACGGAGAATTACAAGTATATCAACAAATAGTAAAAAACATTCCATGTTAGCTATTTACCGAACGTCAACTGACATCGAATGTTAGAAGTATCCCATTATTATATGAAGTCGATTACTCAACATGTATTGGTAGATGACTCTTGTGCTAGTTTTTAGACAAACTGTCTTCATGTTTGTGTCTACAAAACAAAATGAAATTTGAGTATTTATTGTCTGAGAAAATGTAGCACTCACATTTACTCTAACTCGATGACAACATTCCGTGACGTCGAATAACAACTACGTTAAATTACAAATAACTATGACTTTGATATCACTCTTCATATATATTATTTTGGCTTCATTGTTTCCTATCCTCCATGGATTTTTGTTCGCTAACTTAGTGTCTAAGTAATCCTATATATTTATCTAGATAAGCCTGTCACCAGATTATGAGCAATGTAGCTGTCACACCCTGATAGATAATCTAATTCATTAGATCAGGTTTACCATGTAGCCACTAAAGTAAATGATATGGCACCTAGGTCTACTGTGATTAATGTTGAAGACTGGAAAATATATTTGCGAAAAGCTTTGCCTAGTCTAAACTTTACGCCTTTTGGCAGTCATCAGTATGTCCCAAATGGAATACCTAAAACAACTCACTTGCATTCATTCACTCAAACATTTCAGTGTTCGGTGTTACCATTAATAAACTGGGTTTACGTTTTTCTACTAACTTTGTTCTCATCTTCTTCAAAGTCAAGACGAAGCCTTCCAGTTGGATTTCTCTGTCACATCTCCCTTAGTGTTTCATTTCTCTGTGTACATTTTTATCTATTCTCTGTAGGTGGTTTTATGCAAGGCTTGCGAAAACCGGTAGTGTCGAAGGGATCCATGTACACCTTTCAGAATTGAGATAAAAATCAAGTTATTCATGTTCATTATTTACTAGAGATAGTAATTCAGAATGATGCATCAAGAATAAGTAATGTAAATCGTACTACAAATTTTCCAAGCATGATCAACAACACTGTGCCACCAAGTATTTCAGTCAAGCTTAGCCACACCATATTCAATGCGTGTATCTACGGCAACATAGTCACATTAGCATAAGGCATGTCGTATGTTAGAGATAACCAGTAGAATTATATTAACTTTAAACTGAAAGGTTTTTTGAATTTTGGGACAAATGATTTATTTGTGAACTCCACTCTCTCCTGACAGAATGTGTAAGGGAAAGTAACTCGGTACTCCTCAGCACTGAACATCTTAGATTTTGCAAAAATCAGTTCATCATATCTTCAACGCAAATATCTAAATTAATTGTGTACTATTGTTTCAAAAATTGATGAAAATAAAGTTTGGGGGACTTTTTAAATAATTAGGGAGGTTGAGCAATGAAGGTTATATTTAAATATGCACCAACCCTCCATTCAGTAATTTATTCAATAAGCTACCATAAGAGAGCTCTAGAGTGTGAGTTAATTATGTCATATCCGTCTACGTTGTCAGTAATAGGTTATCTTTGCTATCATCAGTAATGGTAGACAGAAAGACTCAATGAGTATATTCTCCTTGGTTTTTGACCATTTTTATAATGATGAATATTTATCAGTGCTAATGTTCAAGGTTGACCTCTATATTCCCGCCACGCATTTTGTTTATTTTACACTTTACTGTAGAAGCAGAACAATCCTTCATTGAATGAATTATCTGTATTGGTATGAGGAGTCCAGATTTATGTTCTATTTCATACAATTCAATGAACGATATAAATCAAGAAAGAATGATGTCGTCATTCAAAGACATTGCATTGAAACCCTTCCACGATACTTATGCTCCAAAGTTAGTAAAATGGCAGATTTTTTTACACTACTTATAGTATTGATCTTTTTTTGTAAGTTATAATTTGTTGGTGGTTCGGTGTTTTCTGAGCTTAAGTGTCTTGTTGTGGACGATCTGTCACCAGGCTTAGTGACATTCTCAGCTCTAAGTTAATAAAGAAGGGAAGCATATTCGAATGTTACACCAATGTTTGGTTGGTAATTTTGCTGACCTTGAGTGTTGTCCAATTGTAAGTTGGTGAAAAGATTTTTTATCACATTTTGACAACTTGGCCTTAATTTTTTCTCGTTCATTCTGGTAGAGAACCTTAATTAGGGTAAGAATTTGTTGTTTGTTGCTGTCATACAATGCTTCATTCTTAATTTGTTTAGCAGATTCACCCCTGGTTTATGGAAGGCTGCAAGGATGAACAACGTAAAGAGGAATTCATCACAACTTATAAAACACGGGACAAAGATTTAAAGAAGAGTGCGCATAAAGACAAAAGACACTTCTACGAAACATTGGCAAGTGAAGCAGAACAGGCTGCAGGTAGGAGAGACAGAGGCTGACAACACTACATCAAATAACCAGACTACCATCTGGGAAGAGATCAACGCAGATGAAACTAATAAATGATAGTGAAGGAAACCTTGTCACCACCAAAGAGGAGAAACAAAAAAACGGTGGACTTACCACTTCAAAAGACTCTTAAATCGACCACCACCACCTGCAACTTATCCAGAAATACCACCAGCAACGGCAAAACTACCAGTCAACACAAGTCTCCGACAAAAGTAGGAGTGAAGTTCTGAAGCCATAAAGTTGCTGAAAACCAGGAAAGGAGGAGGGCCAGATAGAATTGCATCAGAAGCACTGAAAACAGACGCAGAGATAACAGCGGACATGCTTACACCACTACTGCAGAAGGTTTCCAAGGAAGGAAGTACAGAAAGTTACCTGCCGGCCTGAAGAAGGGCTACCTTGTCAATCTTCCAAAGAAGAGAGACCTAAGTCATTACAAGAACTGGCGGGGAATCATGCTGCTGTCCACCCCAAGCAAAATAGTAATCCGCATCATCCTGGAGAGACTAAAAGATGCTCTGGATTCAAAATTACGGAACAGACTGGTTGGCTGGCTCCAGGAAGAACAAATCATGTGCTGATCAAATTACAACGCTACACACTATCATAGAACAGAGCACAGAATTGCAGTCAACTCTCTACCTCAACTTCATCGATTTTGAAAAGGCCATCGACAGAGAAGTAATTTGGTGGCTGCTTTAACACTACGATTTTAGTCCTAAAAAGCTTTATCAACCTTATTCAGCAGCAGCTATATGCTATATGCGGATACTTGCTACATGCCAACTGATTCACAATGGAAAGCTCAGTGACACCTTAGAAGTGAAGACAGCAGTAAGACAAGGCTACCCACTATCACCGATGATCTCCCTGATTGTGGTCGACTGGATCATGCAACAGACAACTGTATTGAGCGAGAAGTGTGGCATACGCCGGCTGGATTGATGAAAAGGTCCTCGAAGATCTCGATTTCTCCGATGAAGATTTATGTCTAATGTCTTGTCGTACACACTCGAAGATCTACGGACACAACCAATAAGTTGACGGAAGAGGCAGAGCGGAGGATGCGAGACGAGACTTCTTTCAGGTGAACATAGAGAAGACAGAGGTGATGAAGACACCCAACCAACGACAACAACAACAACAACAAGAAGCACCAATCACCACCAATGAGAGAAACCTAAAGGAAGTAGTCCCTTTCACCTACACCTACCTAGTCAGCATCGTTTCAACTACAGGTGATGGCGGCACAGACGAGGACGTCAAAACCAGCCAGGATCGGAAAGACAGCTTGACAAGCCTTCATCAACCTGAAATCAGTGTGGAGATCTGTTGCACTCCACTGAACTCAGCATAAAGCGTGAACTAGATCCGGATTTTCAACACTAATCCAGTCAAGTTAGTGCTTCTATGTGATGGTTGAGAGACTTGGTGCGTTACGAGAAGCATTTGCAACAACCTGCAGACACACGTCATCAACAGCCGCCATCTACGCTCACTCGATAATGAAGGTGAGGTGGCCAGAAGTAATAAGTAACAAGGAACTCTGGCTGGGTGGCTTGCTGGCAACGAACCAACCAACAACCCATTGCTGAACAAATATGCAGAAGAAAGTTGAGATGGATTGGATTGAAGATACACTGAGAAGACGGTTTGGGGACATCACGCGTGAAGCTAGGTGGTCGAGTGGAACCCAAAAGGGAAACGACTAGTTGGACGTCTGAGGATGACATTGAGGAGATGGTGTGAGGAAAGAATTAGAGCTTGTGGGCAGTCATGGAGCGAGGTTGAAAAGACTGCAGAGAAGAGAGTGCAATGGAGGCGTGCTACTGAATCCCTATGTTCCACTAGGAACATATATCTTCTAAAGTAGATTATAGATTGGGTCTATATCCACGTGTCTGTCGATTGACTTTTCGTTGGAATGCTACGCTTCCGAAATTCTCCTACGGCTTTCGGACTTGCTGTTTGAAGGATTTCCATATCTCCCAGTAAATTCGTGATCGTGATTGTCAGCGTGCATTGAAACTGGGGGGGGGGGGGGGGGTTGTGCGATTTCACTTTACTGCCTGTTGATATCCGCGAATTCTTTTAGCAGCCCCATGGCTAGACTGACCAGCCTAGTGTTGTAACAGCCTTTGCAACTGATTTTGTAGATTAGGTTTATCCTGTCTTCCTTTGGCGGAGGATACTTCAGCTTGCATAACTTGTTATATGGTGATTTTATTAGTTTATGTGCCACTTCACTCTCGAAAGAAGGAAGCAATCGGTTGACCGTTTCCAAGAAATCCTCGATGTAGGGTAGTGTACCGCACTTATTGATGTGAGGTAATTGTTCTATCTTCTGTTCTGCTGATAAACATATTTCGATAAACGTGTATGGATAATCATTGGCTTTGAACACTGGAAAATTATTTTTCTTTCGCTCTCGATGCTGGAACTGTGCTCCAATACGTTTTGGCTCTTGAGGATAGTGTTTGCACCCAACATTTCTTATGGAGTATAGGGTGGTTGCTGTTTTAGTTCAAAATTTCATCTGTGTATACCTTCTTTCTGTACACTGGAGTTTGAAATATTTTATCTTATGTTGTGCTGATGAGGACATCTTAGGAGGTAATTTGATTGTTGGCTTCTTCTTCAAATGTTTGGTTGATTAGTTTGAACCTGTTTCCTACTTCGTCCTCCTTGAAGAATATGAATGTGTCGTTATCGTGCCAAATGACATTTTTTGGCTTAATAAGAGGGATGACTAAGGATTTCAGGAGCTGCATCAATGCTTCAGCAATCAATCCTGATATGGGCCATCACATCTATTACCCCTTTGTTTGTTTGCACATGTCGACTGGCCTAATTAGGTTGGGAACGGTGAGTTTCGTATGGTCTGAAATATAAAATTTTTGCTATCCATTTAAGTCAATTCTAAGTGCTGCATCTGATGGCTGGTGGGGAGTTTACTGATTGATTTTTAGGTACTTATCATTATCAATCGATCCTTAGAAACCTCCATTTGAATTACTATCTATGGCTGATTTGGTCACCTGCTTCGACAGCAGTATCCCAATAATCTTCTGCAAAGCCATGACCTGCGGTGTCAACTAAGTGAGGATAGTTACTAGCCAACAGCATCAGATGATGGTCACTCTATATCATGAACTGACAGAAGTATGGAAATTTTGACAAACTTAAGCTCAATCCAGTGGTTGGATTGTAACATTCTCATCATGAAGCCTGACAGTCTCGAGCTCAGTAACTTGAGAAGTAGCAGGAAAACATTATTGAGAAGTCTCATACTGTAACTAGATGGTTGTCTACTGCTCCAACGTTTCCCAGCTGGCAACAGTCCATGACGAACGTTAGTTTAGGACTAAACAATACGAAAATAGCTACTTCCCAGTGACGAATTGATGCATCTAATGAAGTCTTGCAGAAGTCAGTCACAGCCTGTACAGATGAACAGTAACACTTCTGATAGCAGATCTGAGTGATGGAGGGTCGAATTTCTAAGTGAACATTGATATCCCCTTAGATACAGATACACCTTGCTGATTAGTGCTAATAAACACGAAACCTAGGTATAAAGCCTCCTACCGATCTCCTAGAACTGCCGAAAACTTTGGAATTTTCTTTAAATTGACTTAGTTTTCCTGCACTTGATTTTTTTTAATAAGTAGTAGGAAAGTTTGTACCCAGGCAATTTAGTGCACGAGATTGGTTTCGAATATTTAATTAAACTGAAAAACTATACTTCGTGATCTCCCAAGGGAGAAAAATAAGAACTTTTCAGAATGACTTGTTGGTTGTAAATAAACGATCTATGGTCGTAGATGGATGTTAGACAACTGAATTTGCGACGAAATTATTTGAATGATAACAGCCTGCTTACTAAAGGTAAAGATTGTCTGAAGCGATTTCAGTGAATATACTCAAAAAGGTAAGTTCTCATAAAAATATCAAATTTACAATGACTGATCTTGGTATGAGTAAATACCTGAAAAATATTGTAGTTTTAAGAGTCTTGTTAACTGTCATTTACAACAGATGCTCAAGTTATCACCTACTGTAATTGATTTTTCTTACGGCACAATTCACTCAATGGTCATCGATCTTTGAATTGAGTAACATGGTTGCTTATGAGGTTAGGTATTTAGGACTATCTTTGAGGTTTCAAGTAGTTGGACATAGTCATCATATTTATACGGTAGGAATTGTTGTCAGAAACGTAAGTTTCTAAGAGCCACATGTAGGGGATAGGATAATTATAAACACAGGAAGAAATTAAGGATGAAAGTCTCTTCTAGTGGAATTTTCACTCAGACATATATATTCCTTATGACTGATCGCATATTGCCTGAATAACAGCTTAGCAAATACATAGCGGTAATTCTATAAGAATAGGGTAAAATTACTTCATTTACAACTGGTGACCGTGACCTGAATGATAAGTCAGCTGAAGTTTGGCAAAAAATGTTATTCAGTAAGGACGAATGAGTGATTTCTTCTGCTAATAATATGAACTTTACAAACTGAATTTATAAGACTCCACTCTTTAAAATTTGAAACATTAAATAATTTAGCGGGAGATAATATTCTAAATCTGATTTGAAAGACCTTTGAATCATGCAGCTGTTATAGTTAGCCGTAGTGTGTTAAACTGCATATCCATCAAACTTTAAACTGCCATTTTCATTTGTTTATATTATCTTTCGTAACAAATCAATCTTTTTACTCCTACTTTACTTTTTAAATAAACTAATTTAAGAAGCCCAATGCTTGCTCACAAAACGTTATACTCAAATTTTAACCCCACTCAAGAAGTGAGTAGAATGAATTTGAGAAGACAGAATCCAAGTTACTTTTCTCCATCTCAAACAAAAGGACAGAGTTATAGTTCCCCTTTAATCTGTCCCATATCTTCACAAATTAACAGTTCACCGTATGAAAACATGAAAACTTGTACTTCAAAACTGAGAGAAGGTGAAAATCTTTACTTTCGAGATGTTCAGTTTAGTCCAGTAAGTGTTTTTGATTCCCTTTTTTTTACAACTACTGGTAGCTTAAATTTTTATGATCAAATATTGTTAATTTTCATTTTGATCATCTGATGTAACCGTGGCTTGGTAGACTTGTATTGATGTTGGGTGATGATTGACGGTGAAATGAGAATTTGGTCCGCTGCAAGATTCCAACCAGTGACTGTAGGGCTTTACCAAGTGAGCTATAAGACCTGACTGCTCACCAGATTGTATTTCACTTCGATCACTAAGGGCTGGAAACCCGGTGATCACTGGTTTAAATCCTGCTACAGCCCAAATTTTCATTTTACCTCTAATCATCACCTAGTCTAAATATTTGCAACACCAATTGCTCTACTGTATCTGCCAAACTTAAATACGAGAAAACACCTTTCTATGTGAAAGGTTTATAGCATGCGTAGGCGGAATTATGATAGAGTCCTGGATGACCCGAATCGAAAAGAGTACAGCATAAATTTAACTCATACCTTTGTTCCTAACACAAAAGTTGTTATCAGCTGCATGATGGCGGTGTAATGTAACAAAGTTTAAGTCCATGTACTGACCAATGAGACACACTCATTTTATGAGGGCTGGTGATGCTATGTGACTTCTAAAACTTCAGCAGGTAGAGTGGGGATCAAACCTGAATTTCAGTTACCGTTCAGGTCAAGGCTTTGCTTTGACCCAGAAATTCCTTTCAGACCATTATTGTTACTTATTATCATGTAGAATTTTGCTACCAATACCATAACTAAATGGGAACTGATACATTTAATTAGTTGGATAACTTCCACAGCAATGTTAAGCTGTCTGAGAGACTCTGAAAACTACAGGCTATCTTGTTCATGGACGTAACGTCTCAGAGTAAAACTTTAGGTAACTGTGATCCACACATTTCGGTAAATGTGAGGTTTTGGTGCACATCTTGCTGATATATTCCAGCAACCACCTAACACTAGTCAAAGTAAACTGCAATGATGAAAGTCTTAGCTTTGTGATGACAAGGAAAGATGATTGGTAGAATTCGATTGCCAATTAGAAGTAGGAAACAAGACTAACGAATGTTCAAACATTCATTCATGAAACAATTCAGCATCCATATGTCATGATTTAAAATTGACTAATGTATCGCTTATCCTTCTGTGCAGGGTTAAAAAGTGACTATGTGTGTGTAGAATATGCCTGGATAACTTTACTCAATTAACATAACCTCGAGTATAACTGAAATATGCTTCCTGAAGCTGCTGATTGGTTACTACAAGTCAAATTTATAAGGAATTCCTTTTCACTTATTATTATCATCATCATCATCACTCACACCATATGACCTCGTTTTCTAGGTAGATAATTTTATCACTTTACTATTCCTCTGATGCACAGACATTTACTACTATGGATGACTTTCAATAAAATAATTTTCTTTTCTCAACTTTTATTTATGAAATAGTTTAAGAAATTAGGAAGAAATAAGACCAGGCTCTTTATAGTTTACTTTTTTGAATGATTTTAGGCCAAAATGATCACTTTGGGCTAGAAGTTTTATTTTCAAAGTTTTTCAAATTCACAAAACTCACTGAATTTGATTATATATGACCATTTTAGAAGTTTTAGCTACAAACGTTTCTTAAAATCTCCTTATGAGTAATGCTCAAAATGAATTAACTAAACAGGGGAGTGTGTTAATATGTTATCTTCAGCTTAAAAATATGAATATATCTGGTGTAGAAGTTTGAATTCGCTAACGGGCAACTTTTCAACAGTTGACTACTTAAAAAGAGAAAGAACAAAAATGGGAGCAAAATAAGCTCGATCCATTTTATTTCGGTGATATCTTGTTAACTGTTTGGAACCTAGAATGCCAAAATACATACTTTACTGAAAAAGCACCTATATTCAACATCTGGTAACTCTTCTTGACTGTTTTTCGATTACATAATCTTCTAGCATACTTAAACATTCATTTTCTCTCTCAAATTTATTTGGATCACCCTTTGTTCATATTGAATGTTATTAGCTGATTGAGCTTAGCTTACAATATTTTGCATATTTATCATATGACCTACTTACGTAACTCTACTGTTAAGTCACTCAATATTTTGATTACTACTCTTATCTTCTTTTTCATTCAAGGAACTTCCACCAGACTATACATATACTTATGACCATTTATTTAACTCTATTTGAATTAATGCAAAATTCCCATTTAGACATTTAGTAAAACAAACAATGTGAGTGAAGAAATATTTCTTTTCAATTAGTTCCTCATCAATGGCTCTACACTAATATAGCATTTTCAAACGTAAAATTACATACCAATCTAGTGGTGAGAGTTGTTCAATGAAAGGTTATCAATCTCAAAGTTTCAAGAAGGTGATAATTGATCAGGTAATTAAGACAGTTAACTAAAGCAAAGATTAATTATCGTAGAAAGATTTTGTGAACAGGTTCTTACATAATTGATATTTTATATAATGATAACTAAAGAGCAAAAATGAACTGTTACGTAAAATGGTAAATTGTTGACGGTAATTAGAGACAGTAGGGGGAGAGAAAGATGATTAAGTCTGTAATAATAATAATAATGGAGCTATTAAAATATTAGTTATAGTGAATTGTGTGGTGGATGAAATGAAGAGTCTTGTGATAAATGAGCTATACAGATGACCAAGGCAAAGAAAGAGGCTGTACGAATCTCTTCTGAACACACAAGTCAATACACCCACTTCTTGAGTTTCGTCCCCTTGCAATATAAACGAAATCTCGTTAAATGTTTGGTCCATCGGGCGAGACTCATCTGTTCAGATGATACTTTAGACGAAGAGCTTCAAATTATCCACGATCTACTCAGTAGTAATGGATATCCAGAAACGTTCCTGGCTAAAAATATGAACACATCCAATATGAAAACCAGAATGCCTACAGTCTCCAAGAAACCATTGTTCCTAAGACTACAATTTCGAGGTGACATCATCAGCGAAATTGTGACACAACGCTTAAGAAATGCCATAAGAAGATCATTTAATGCCGCCAAGTTATGTTGTGTTTTCTACAGCCGGCCGATGATGACCACACGAACTAAAGACAGACTCCCTGACTTCTCCTCTTCTATGTGCATTTACCAGTTCAACTGCTCCTGTGGAGCTAGTTACATTGGACGTACAGTTAGGCAAGTCCGTCGTCGAATCGCCGAGCATCATCCTTCATGGCTAAGTAAGGGGAAACCAGACTGACACGAAGCTCAATACTCTCTCATCTGATTGACACCGGCCACCGAGTTAACATTCATAATGCCTTTAAAGTTATTTATCACATTCCTTCTCACCTCACCCATCCTCTACGAGTCCGTCTTTTACATACAGCAGAAGCCATAGGAATCCACCTACACAAGCCAAGTCTGTGTGTTCAGAAGAGATTCGTACAGCCTCTTTCTTTGCCTTGGCCATCTGTATAGCTCATTTATTACAACAAGACTCTTCATTTCATCCACCACACAATTCACTATAACTAATATTTTAATAGCTCCATTATTATTATTATTACAGACTTAATCATCTTTCTCTCCCCCTACTGTCTCTAATTACCGTCAACAATTTACCATTTTACGTAACAGTTCATTTTTGCTCTTTAGTTATCATTATATAAAATATCAATTATGTAAGAACCTGTTCACAAAATCTTTCTACGATAATTAATCTTTGCTTTAGTTAACTGTCTTAATTACCTGATCAATTATCACCTTCTTGAAACTTTGAGATTGATAACCTTTCATTGAACAACTCTCACCACTAGATTGGTATGTAATTTTACGTTTGAAAATGCTATATTAGTGTAGAGCCATTGATGAGGAACTAATTGAAAAGAAATATTTCTTCACTCACATTGTTTGTTTTACTAAATGTCTATTTGAATTTCCTGTCTTTATTAACCTTTACTCTTTGACTTTTTCTGTGCGTCTTAACCACTGACTGATATTCTGTTCTCGTTGGATAAATTAAAATACGTTAAATTTTCAGTAAAAATATACGTTTTATATTTTAGTTTGAAAGCAGTGAGCAAGATACCATCGAAAAAACGGATGTGTTTTATCCTGATCCCTGTGTTGTTTCTGCTCTTCCCAGTTTTGTAAAGTAGAGTCCGTGTATCCAAGGACAATTTTTCTGAATTATCCTGTTCCTCAATGAAATGAAATTAGGTTTAGCAGCTCTAAAGAACATTTTAAACTAACATCATTTTGATGTACAGTTCTTACTTTCAAATACAAGGGGATTATTTAGTAGACTGGTTTCTTGGGGCTTAGCTTCTATCAAGATAGCTTACGTTAAGAAATGAAATGGGTTGGAGGACTAATGAAAACCTGAAATCACTAGAAACTTGTTTCGCAAACACACCTCGAAAACAATCTTCACTTCACAAATGAACCATCTGAGTAACAGTTCTATACTCAATGATGACTCATCCCAAGACAGATTTTCTGAGGATCTGACGTGAAGTCTTTATTTGGATGTGAGAATAAATACTCACTAAACTCATCAGTAGATGATCATCCTAAATCGCAAGTTAACGGAAGAAAGATTATATAGACCATTAAATTTCTCGATCATATTGGATAGGTGACATGAAGGAGACCGTGTGAGGAAGAAATGAAAGCTTCTGAGCAGTTATAGAGCCAGGTTGAAAAGATTGCAGAGAATAGAGTGGAATGGAGACGTACTACTGAAGCCCTGTGTTCCGCTAGGAACCCAAGGGACAAGTAATAGATAATAGTAAATATTGGATAGGTCTATTTGAAATGGCACTTAGTGAGATACTTTCATGTAATGGACAAATCTAAGGTCATATTAATGTGTGCCACACCAAAAACTAATCTATTGTGTAATTACACTCCACTATAGTACCTGAATTCTATACTTCGATCTTAATCCTGTGATGGAATTATCACATGTTCACTTTTCCCTTGAATCTATCTGGGGTGATGCTTTGATGGAAGGACTGGAAGTAGAACAAAACACCTGAGCAAATCTCCATTCCTTTCAGTAGTCAACATATTGACATCCATCTACAATAACTGACAGTCGAAACTCCGGATTTTTCTTCTACACGACACGAGATTAACATATAGCAAGTGTGATTAAAAAGATTGCACGGGTGAACCTGTTTGTTGTCAAGGCGTTCATTACAATTTTTAACACACTATCCTGGAAATGCATTAACTAATGAAATAAACACCAAGAGGCTATCTACGTCTCAAACCACGCCTGTGAATGAACGGCACGCGAAAGCCTGTATTTAAAAAACAGGGTTAAGGACTTTATAAAAGGTTTAAAAAACGGAATGGAACACTCAAAGCGAACCAAAGACGGTCAAGTGCAGTCATGAATAACGCTAATGCACTGAAATGGAAACCTGATAAATACAAATATACCAAAAAGAAACGTGCAACTGAGCTCACTGTATCAATAAAATTAAAAGGTTGTATTTAACTACTTGCTATTGACGAGTAGTATACTGTTTTTGACAAAAAGCCACATGTGAAAGTGAAGCATAAGTATGTTGCAAATAAACTATTCACTTGCTTGTGGAAAAAATGTAAACGACATCTGTGAAACCGATTAACATGCTTTTTTGATTTGTTTATTCATATTAAAGACTCAAAAGTCTTGTATTTGTCAATCGGTTTGGTCGCAGCTAATGGAATTATAATTTTTTCTATTCAGCTTCCTGATTTAGATTTTTACTTTGTGCGGTGGCTGAATGCAGCTTATCGTCGACATACCTGTAAGACTATACTTTTCAAAGGCATGCACACACAAACCTACTTGTTTATTTTCTTTCACTTTACTTTATCTGCTAGCATGTGAGCACTCAGATTTGCACACACAATACGGTGAAATTGAGTCATTCTTTTTTCACCTAATTGAATTTTAATGCACATTTTCTTATTGAAAAGCACTAAATCACAGTAATACACTAGAATATGTTTTATACTCACTTGAGAAAGGATAAAAAAGGATGTTAAAGTGAGATTTTTAGCCTATTTTACTTGCCTTTACAGTTAAGAATTATCTACATTTATGAAAGTCATACAAATTCTGAAGTTGCAGAAATAATTAACTGAAAATTGATTTCTTTCAGTTTGCTTTTATTTTCTTCATCCCTATGTATCCATTCGGTAGTCTGACTGCAAGCCTGAACAGATTACTCATCTATTATGCACATTTATGTCTCACGTATTTTTCATAGTTATTTAAAATCCATTTGAGAACAGATAGATGCCCTCAAGTATGGGATACTTGTTTACTTCTGGCATGTTCTCTATAAGCTGTGTTGACAGACAACTATGTGTATCACTGAGATCAGGAAGCCCATGTCTTACCCTCAGGATAGTATCATTCATCCTCTTGGTTACAGCATAATCTTTCGTGCTCCACATATTCATTTTATTTAAAATTTGTGCAATCTCTCTTCTGTGTAGCGTATGAATTATCAATTATCCAGTGTAGTGGACTACTCACACTTGTCTATCGATGAAAATGTCTTTTCTCTGTACCTTTACTTCTGTTTCGGTAACGAACCATTCTGTCGTTGTCTATAACTTTTACGCAGCTTCAATCTCATGTCTTCTGAGAGATCCATCCTTCGCCACCGAAGTGGAATCATGAATACGAGCCCATGAAATGCATGCTATGGCTTTTACTGAATTATAAAATAATGACCTTAACCTATTCATAAAGTAAGAAAACCCTGAAGAAACAATATTTAATCTAGTTATGTGTCCATCACTTGTAGATAAAGCCTACTGATAAAACTATTCATTATTGCCACAAAGTTGAGTAATTCCACACCCCTATGCTTGTATACAGTCTTTGGTTACTTAACGAGATCAGTAGATAGTTATGATCCTAGCATCTTTCTTGTCTGAGCATTGTAGGTAGATGACTTATCAGCATAAATGATATCTTTATGTCCACTCGGATTGTAACACCTTCAGTTGATCACTACTGGGGATATGATCATTGTGGAATCATAAATTTATTATGATAAACTGGTTATACACATTTGTAGGACAAATGACGGAATTTCTAAATCACTTCAACTATGTATATATCAGCTAAGCGTTACAGTCTGAAAAGATGTGATTACATAAGTCTTACTCTTATTAGAAACAATTGGTCCCTTTAATAAATTTCTATAATGCTATTAGAAGACGAAGATTATTTGAAAAATGTGATGTATTTGCGCAATACATTTCGAACAATCTGATCACACATTTACTTGTCAAGTCAATTTATATATGAAAATTAAAGGTCAAATATAATGAATATGAAAAGGTTGTGACACTAGTCTTGGTAACATAATCAGATAAGGGTTACCAAGGTAAATTAAGTGAAACAACAAACTGTTTTTGTACACACAGCGGGGGATTAAGTTTACGAATGGCTAACGCTTCGGCAAACTTCAGTATACGCCCCTGATTATTCCTGTATATTATCTTAAACGCTGTTTTCGTATTAACCCTGTGATTCATTTCAATAATATGTTTTGCTATAGATGACGATGGATGTCTGTCACCTGCACTTATCAAAGTTTGTGTGTTAAACTGTTTTTCTAGCCATTTGGGGATGTGTTCACCCACCCTAGTCTGCATTGAACGATTACTCCTCCCGATGTATGTGTGCCCACACATACATGTAAATTGGTAAACGCAGTTGGATGTGATGTAATCATTTGTGCGAGGTTGAGGTTTGTGGTGAAGCAGGTGTTTTGTCGTCTCAACAATTATAAGCTGAGCTGCATAGTATGTTTTACTGATAACAGATTTTAATCTCTGCTTCAATATCATACTACTTGTTTCCCCTCTGTATGGTACTTTAAGAAATATGCTTTTCTTCGGGACCGAGGAAACTGTAGGCTTTGGGGTCAACTGCTTTTTACAATGGTTGACAAACTGTAATGGATAACCGTTTTCCACTAGAGTGTCTGTCAGAAACTTATTCTCATCATCCATCGTATCAGATGTACAAATACGTTGGATTCTATTGAACAAGCATCTTACTAAGCCTCTCTTATATTTCATCGGACAAAAACTATGAAAATTCAAATACTGTCCTGTCCAAGTAGACTTCCTATATATTGATCGTTTTATAGATCCATCTTCCCTCCGGCACAAGAGTATATCAAGAAATGCAAGTTGATGATCTTTTTCTTCCTCACATGTCAGACTGATATGATCTTGTACGGTATTAAGCCTTTTTAATAACCTCTTGGCATCCTCATCTGTGTCACATATTACAAGGATATCATCCACATACCTTCTATAAAGTGTGACATTTGTGATTAAATCTTGGGCCATTAGTTCAGTTCAGTTTAAGATAATATACAGGAATAATCAGGGGCGTATACTGAAGTTTGCCGAAGCGTTAGCCATTCGTAAACTTAATCCCCCGCTGTGTGTACAAAAACAGTTTGTTGTTTCACTTAATTTACCTTGGTAACCCTTATCTGATTATGTTACCAAGACTAGTGTCACAACCTTTTCATATTCATTATATTTGACCTTTAATTTTCATATATAAATTGACTTGACAAGTAAATGTGTGATCAGATTGTTCGAAATGTATTGCGCAAATACATCACATTTTTCAAATAATCTTCGTCTTCTAATAGCATTATAGAAATTTATTAAAGGGACCAATTGTTTCTAATAAGAGTAAGACTTATGTAATCACATCTTTTCAGACTGTAACGCTTAGCTGATATATACAGCTGTTGGTGTCAGTCGTCAAGACGCCTTGAAACTGGGTCTTTTAGTTGTTATCCCCCATCAGCAAGACGCATATGGCACCATGGGGAAATTAGTGTCCCCCTTGGTGATGAAAGCCTGCATCACTCAGTGTTGAAGTCAGGGGCTTATGCAGTAAACTGTTGATCGGTAGACTATGATCGGTGCTGTAGACTTAGTATTATACAGCTACATCGGATTGCCTTCTTATGACTGATTTTGGTAGATGGATGGCTTCTCCTATCTATGTCAATAACAAACAGACTTGGTTCTCCGAAACAGTTCCGAATGTTATGAAGTGTTCGACTAGTGGTAATCATAATGATACTACTTAGCAATAACAGAATTATTTCAAGCTATGTCAATCGGTCAAGAAGTTATACAAAAGGAATCTTAAGTTCGCACACTTGATATCAATTGTTTATAGACTGTTCTTGGGCTAAACTGAACTTTGGTCTAGAGTTTTTTAGTTCCTATCAGAAGGGTTTACCTGTAGTCCTAAAATAGTTGAACAACGATAAATTAAATGCAGAAGCTTCATCAGTATCAGAATCACAGGCAAAACTTGATCAGGATAATCTAATATACCTTCACTGTAATGTTGAAGCCTTTTTGGTAAATGAATAATTTAATTATCTGGGAGTTCCCAACTTCAAGTACATAAAGACACACTTCACTAATGGGAAATGTTTTACTAAAATCAAGCAAACTACTAAAAAGTAGTAAGTTGATTTCAAAGCATTTTTTATTTCCATTCACAGCACCCTATTCCATAATATCACACAAACTTTTATCAGTGAAGTAAGAATTGGAAATATTGCCTAACAGTTACGTTCAGCGTGAAGCTTGCCCTTTTATTCGATCTGATACGCACATATTTAAGCAAATACAAATTATATTTCAAAAATGCATAAACAGAAGACAGTAAGATATCAGAGAACTTTCAATATAAATTGTGTATATTTTCTGTTTCTTTTTACCGAGAAGCAAAAAGATTAAAATTGTTTAGAAAGTCATCAAAAGACAGAGATCCTTGATGCGTTAACCTCTTTATTTTCTGTTAATAAACTGCTTATTTTATGACAACTGAGTAGTTGATGAATATATTTGATTGTTACACTCTTCTTAGCCCTATTATTTGTAATGATAAATACAATTTTATCATTATCATTATTGATTTTTTGTTTTCTCAGGAAGTTACCAAAGTCTAACAAGCTTGTTCACTTTAACCAAATAACCAAAATGTCCACCCTTTTTTAGCAGTGTTTACCTTCTATACGAGTAGACTGAATACTTGTAAGGATTGCCTTTCAGCGCTAAGATATTTTAGTCGAATTTCTATGCCCCCAAATCTTTTGTCGACATTTTTAGAGAAGAGACCTAGGCATAGGTGCATCATCTATTATTCCTAAAACTCTTACCATATTGAAGTATTTGACTAGCTAATGATATCAGGCTGTAAGTTTACAAGTTAGCCTGTTATGATGTAAGCGCCTACTTACTGATGAAGTTATCAATGATTTGTCCTAACAAAGTCAGTTACATCGTCAGATACGCTGAATCACAAAAACATTTGTCTGGTTAATGCCTTCGGAAGTATGGTATTGTTAGGAAATAATAAAAGAACCTTTATACCATACTACAGTTATACAGTTCAAATCATGTGACCTTGAATTCAGCTGAACGTCTTATCAAAATCATACACAGCTACTAAACTATATGCCGTTAATTGTTCATTTTTTACAAAATGATAAACGACACTACTGAAAAAAAGTGAGTAGTTAAACATAACTCGCTGAAGGATTGTTTTTTTGAGAAGCCTCGCAAATTTGATGTTTGGTTTACATTTGAAATCCTATTGGATTCATTGATGAATACACTGAGCAGCAATACAAGATAGCACTACAGGTTCTTCAGTTTCAAAATAATTTGAGGAATGTTTGATGAAATTTTTATCACCATTTATCTATATGGTCATCTCCTTCTTGTGATAAGTCCGGGTGATTGCATCTCAAATGAAGATATTTGTCCAGACATCTGTTGGCACTTTCATTGACTGACAAAGGCACTTAATATTATTACTGACAAATTGAAAGCTGTAATAATTTTTTTTCCGCCTGGTTCAGTGTCCATTATGTAACTAGCGCCACAACTCTTTTGTGTTATACAACGGGCAACAATTACATGCTGGCAACATTTTCCGGTCGTAGAACACAAACAACTGTGTGATAGCTTACTAGATAAATGATAGTAATTCTGACAAAGCCCAGTGTTGTTCTAAACAGGAACAGCAATGAGTTTACCTTGTTACCTTCGAAGACATTATAAAGTAACTTTTTCCTACTGTGAATAGTAGGAGACATTTTTAATGTCAAGGAATATCCGGGCGAAATGGTTTAGTAATGGTAACTGCTTAATACAGAGTATAGAAACAAGGTAATAGGCATCAAGAGAAAAACCTGGAATATCATAAGAAACGATTTTTTATCAATCTCTTAGGGATCGTTCATAATAGGAAAACTCTACCTAAACCCAGATGAAGTTATATTGTTCGTCGACCTCTCAGGTTAGGCAATTCAGCGATATTCAATACGGTTCATGAAGTAAAGTGGAGTTGGAAATTAAAGTCTGAGGTACACAAAGCATTAATTACGAGGCTGGATTAGTCAGAACGAGGTAAAATCACCAGGATATTCGGAATTTCGATGTATGTTATGTATATATGATAGAACTTATTCGAAAATGTAAATATCAGCAAGCTGACCGTCAATTCACATTCATTTTTCTGATCTCTTTGAGGCAGACATTAAAGTGAATGTCATATGTTTTCTACAGAGCTGTCTCAAAATGATGTTCATCTTACTTCTGTCTGTTATTTTCGAATCTCCAAATCTCATACTTAACAACCATGGGTCTAAGCTGCCTAGGGATTTTCACAGGTTTCGATTGCTTGTTATTCAACTACGGCTTGTAATGACATATGTAACTATCTAAAAGCTATAATTTATCCCACACATATTCTGAACCTATGAAATAAACTTGTCTAACATATTTTTACCAAGTTAACATGAACTAGTTAGTGACTGATACTTCTTTTAAGTATAACTTCATAACAAGTAACCATGAGGCATAACTGTGTAAACGATAGAAAAAGGTGTCATTCAGTCGTCATCCTCCTGTCATCAATGAACGCTGTTGGTTTTTATGATATCATTATGGTTATGTGTAGTATGAAGCTGATATTGGTACATAACTGTCCTTTCCTTTCTTTCAGACATGAGTACCTTAACAATTGATTTGACCTGATTTACCTCAGATAACTTATTATTATTTGTCCCTTGGGTTCCTAATGGAACATAAGGCTTCAGTAGCACGTCTCTAGTACACTTTCTTCTCTGAAATCTTTTAAACCTGACTCCACGACAGCCCGCAACCTCTCACTTCTTCCTCGCACGACATCCTTTATGTCATCCTCACCTCGGATGCCCAACTCGCCGTTTCTCATCTGGGTTCCACTCCAGGGCCTGATACGTGATGTCCCCAGTCGGCTTCTCAGTGTATGCCCAATCCATCTCCATTTCCTTCTGCATATTTATTGAGCGATAGGTTCTCGGTTGGTTCGTTACCAGCCAGAGTTCCTTGTTGCTTATTCTTTCTGGCCATCTGATGTTCAGTAACGTGCCAGCGTAGGCAGTTGTTAATGAATATCTGTAGTTTTTTGGAAATGCTTTTTGTAACGCACCAAGTCTCTGAGCACTGACTTGACCGAATTAGTATTGAAAATCCGGATGTTGTTCACGCTTTATGCTGAGTGCAGTGCAGTAGATCTCCACACTGATTTCAGGTTAATGAACGCCTGTCTTGCTTTTCCGATCCTGACTTTGACGTCGTCCGTGCTACCGCCTGTAGTTGAAACAGTGCTGTCTAGATAGGTGAAAGAGACTACTTCCTTTAAGTTTCTCTCATTGATGGAGATTGGAGCTTGTTGTTGTTGGTGGTGTTGTTTCGGTATCTTCATCATCTCTGTCTTCTCTACATTCTCCTTAAGGAAGACCCGTCTTCGCTGCCCTGCCTCTTCTGTCAACTTGTTAGTTTTCGCCTGTAGATCTTCGAATTTGTATCACATTAGACACAAGTCATTGGCAAAATTCAAATCTACTAGGTTCTTTTCTGCGGTCCAGCCTATTCCCCTCTTCTCGCTCCTCACTGTTTGTTGCATGCTCCAGTCTAGTCGACCACAATCAATAATATCATGGGTGATAGTAGACAGCCTTGTCTTACTCCTGTCTTCACTTCAAAAGCATCACTGAGCTTCCCATTATGAATTACCTCAGGTAACTTATATGTTCGAAAAATTTTAGAATATCGCCGATAAACGTAAAACAGCTTTCTAGATACCAATTTACTTCAAATGTAAACATTTGCTAGTTCATATTAAAAGTTTCCAAATCATCATTTAGCATATTTATACTTATCACAACATTTTCATATTGATTCTTCTCTACAGTTAGCGATCACAAACAATCCAAGCTTTTAATTCACCACGAGAAACTTGACAATCAGATTTCAACTAAGTACTTTTCTTCTTCCTACAAATCGTATGTTTAACAAACATCCATTTTAAATATATATCGCACTAGAAAAATCCCTTATACGTTTGAATATATATTTTACAGAAAATCATATGATAGGCTTTGATAAAAAAAAAGGTATTCATGGTTATCATTAAATGGGCAGAATTGAGCTTTGAACGTATAAAATTAAATGCTATTCATTCAAACACCTAACATGTCATACTAAAAAATCGAAATGAATTCACTAACAAATATATTTCTTATTAGTTTTTGTATAGAATAAACGTGAATTAAAAAAAATCTACTGAAAGTAATTTTAGTTATCATGAAAATCGTGACTACACCTGAGTACATCGCATTGTTCACAGTTAATCAATTCTGCAATTGAAAATAAATGTGACCCAAAACATTCACTGAGTTACATAATAACAATGATAATAGTCGTACTATTTAATACTAATAATAAAAATATTTTTACATCTTCAGCATATAAAACAAAGTTAATTGGAAATAAAAGAGATAAATTTTACTTTAGACTTAGAAATAAACTAGAGAAAATTTTTTTTATGCATTAGTCGTGTTAAATAATAATTTCTATGAGTTGTATAATGACTTCATCTTTGCCATATGATTATAAAAAACTTAGCTCAATAGCTGTAAGTAGTGGAATCTACTCATGATTTGTGTCCATGACAAGTTTTTCAAATGAATTTCAGTGAATGTACTTCGATGAGATTCAACCAGATGTATACCTGCACAGCCATGTGAAGTCTGAGTAGACTGTGGGTAGCTTAATAAGAGTAAATCTGTATAAATATTCAAGTTTAATTTGCATGACAAATACACAAATTTCACCTTAATGGTGATATTTTCTCTGAAATGGATGATTTAATCGTGAAACTTTCGTTGCCATTCCAGACAATATCATCATCACAAAGTTCAGAAAGAAGCGAGGTTTTCTTTACAATTTATTTAGTAGCTTTTCCTGATGGCCTTGTGTGCTACTGGTTGTTTCTGTCAAGGTCTTGTCATTGTCTCTATGTTTAGTTTGATTGGTTGTCTTGATGACCTGAAATCTGACCTTCTTGTTGTTTCTTATAGTTTGATAATTTGGGTCAGTGTCAGTATGTGTGTTGATTGCTGGTTGACCCGAATGATAAGCTCTCAGAAATTCTCTCGCACTTTTTGTGTTCCCTCTATCC